ACTGTGTAGCTTCCTGATTTCAGAGAAGGATATCTACTCACACCAACCAACTAAAACATCAACAGAAGGGCAACATGAAGTTTAAAGAAATCATGAAACAACTCTGGTATTCATACAGCATTTGGTGACTGTCACTCACTGCTATTATCACATAAATAGATGTATATAGCAAGTATAATTACACATGCCTGCTAAAAACAGTTCTCAGGAGTTACTGACTTCTCTTTATTGATAGCATGTTGACATCACTTCTCCACTGTTATAGCATTTTTATAGCTCATTAAAATGCACCTTCTCCCCAGTCTGCACATCCCAAAACACAATGAGATAGATGTACTTTCACTGCACAGCAATTACCAGAATTATATACGAACTCTAGGATTTACTAGGTCTCCTGCAGAAACTAACCTGTATCCCAGAGGCAGACACAGACTGCAAAATTTAGCTTTGCTCACAGCTGGGGAACATTTGGAGCCAAATAGTTGGTTAGTACATTACAGAGATAGGAAAAAAGACATGAAATTCACACGTGTTTTGAAATCCAAATTCCACTGTAGTATTGGCATCTGCAAGATTGATCTTGCCATTTGAGACTATATCTACTGTATGTTTTTCCTCCTCAGGGGGGAGAGAAGTGCATACCCTGTCCTTTTATCCAGTCATTTGCCCTGTCTCTAACAGCATGTGAGAAGTAAAGATCTGTAAGATTTAACCATGTAGGTAGTTTCTTGACCTGGAAAAGAAAGTACTTGGCATCAAATTGTTGAAGCTGGCCCCAATCCACCTCTGCATTGTTTGGGGCAGACAACATATTGGGGGTAAAACAGGTCATAGCAACAGCAGTTTTTACTTTGGCTGTTATTTTCCAGTATTCTCTCCTTGTGGCAGGAGAAGTTGATCTAAATCCAGCTTGAAAGCTTCACTATAAGTAGGGAGCTAAGCTTGAAACCAATGCAATTATTCTAAGTAAAGAAAAAAAAAAATATTCTGGAATGCACTAATTGCATCAAATCTCTGGCAGATTTTGAAAAATCTGATTCACCAAAATCTCTAGCATTTCCTTTGTTTTCCAAAAGAGTGCTCTTAATCTGTTTAGGCTTCCATCACAGCCTTTTTTTTTCATCCACAGAAATCCCTCCATCTGCTCTAGCATCGGTCTCTTAATTAATTGACTAATTTTCTTTAGATACTGATGCGATTGAAATAGTTTGATCTGATTTTCCTTTGCTTCTGATCTTACTGTTACAGTTGCACCCATTTGATGCTTGCAAATGTGATCAACTCTGCCAGTTTCCTTTGTTACTAAAAATCGTTATGCCTGCTTTAGTCAGGATGATCAAAATTCTAGCAGAAGAATCTGAAACACATTAGCGGTCCATCAGAGGAGAAACACTCTTCCCCTCCCGCCCCCCTGCCCAGTGTTCTCTTCTTTATACCAGAGTCTTATTAAACATTCAGAAGAATGAGCAGTATACTTACTTGTATTTCATAACTTTATACTTTCTTTCACTTGAGAATGGGATGGAAAAAAATCCTAAGAGTTAAATTTTAAAAGTGCCTCAGGGTATGTACATGCAGTAGAATATAATAGAAAGATTTCCTAAAGCCCAGTCTACCTGCACTGACCCAGACAGGTTCCTACTACTTTTAGGGTAGACTCAGTGTGCAGGAAATATATCTGTCTGTAAGCTTTTCTGTTGCATGGCATTGATATGCTCTCAGTAGTTTAGATGTGTTAAGTCTCAGTTCTTAAATATTGTATTTAGAAGCCTGAGGGCAGTTCTAAAATAGACATAGATTTTATTATTAGCATTTCATTCTTACAAATTACATGAAAGAAAAGGCGAGAGGCATGAAGAAAAATCTGTTCTGAAAGTTGAGATTGGATTTACAAAGGTAGCTGGGTGCCCAAAGGTGCAGAGAAGTCTTGGGAGGGATTTCCAAAAGCCTCTCAGTGAGCAATGTGCCGTATCTCACTGAACACTGAAAAGAATTAAATTACAATTCTGTTCAAGTGTTTTTATCATGCCAGTGAAGAAGCTTCTTTGCACTGCTACACATCTAATTAGCTCTATAAGATGGCCTCCAATTAGTTGCAGATGGCCAGCAAAAGCAAAAGGGATGAAATGTTTCTGACAAATACATGCTGCTTCTAGATTAGGAAAAGTTTTGTTTGTCTGTGTGGATTTTCTGGCAGTAGCTCTGACTCAAGTTACTCTGGCTCAGTACTCTGCTGTCTCAGTGTGGCACTACACAGCGATAGTAAATAAGGCCTGGTGAGTGGCATTCTCCATGGAGGGATTATTTAGCCGGTGACATTACACGCTTCTTCCTGCGGTGATGCTACCACGTCATTTCCTAAACTCCTTCATCTCTGCCAGTGTCCCCTGGGGAGAAAGGGATGATGCTCTCTGACGTGTCGGCAGTCGTTGCTAACAAGGGAGCTTTTAATGAGCTGGTACCAGACAAATGGGGAAGCTGCCTATCATACAAACTATCACTGTAGATATTTTTTCCTGTGACTGTTATATATTAGAGAGCATGGAGAAAATTACACTTACTGAAAGATATCAAAAGAGTCTAATTACAGTGATTTCTATAGAGAAAGTTAAAGGATGCGTGTCAAAAGGGACTGATATGTAATTATGATAATGCCAGTTGCAACTCCTGTGCTATCTAATTACTTGAAATGGGTGGCATTGAACAGTCATTATGAAAGTGAGCTACTTTTATAACAAAATGATATAATCTTGATATCAAATAGAGACAAAAATGAAAGGATAATAAAATTAGTATATTTGTATGAATAATAATCAAACAGGCAGCAGTCAATGTGCAAACAGAAAACCACCAACTGTCTCCAAGCCCAAATCTGTGCTACACTTTTGACTCACTCTGCGTCAGAAACTGAGATGCTGTGTGTGTTGGTAGTCAAACTGGTAGTCAAACTCAAAAAACTACTGGCATGACAAGAAAAGAGTGGAGGGAGAAAAGAATAAAAAGAGAAAAGATTAATAGAAATGGAAAAGAGCATAAACCTAGCAGTCAAAGGGCTAACCTCTCCTGGGCCCGGCTTTGGGTTTCTCCACGTGTTGTTTGCTCTAGATTCTCTAATATACTCCAAACCCATAACCACTGGGTAGGTGCTGGACCCTTTTGGATTTATGCAATCAGACATCTTTGAGGATAGAGGTCTTTTTGGTTTTGTGCTGTATTTGTATTACACTGTTAAAGCAGTACTTGATATACATAAAATAGTAAAATTATTAGTTTAATTTAACTCACATTTTGTTCACCACAAATGTGGTGAACAAAATTGCTCAGAATCCATACCTACTATAGTCTAATGCCATCTGTTCACAAATGAACTGGTCATTGGAAAACTCGTTTTTCCATTCATTAAAAATGAAAATCCTAGCATGTTCATACAAAAGCCCACGGACCTGCTGGTAGGTCTCTGCTCCTAATTATGGTATAGCCTAGAAAAATAATCTGTTATTTGAACGACATCAACAAATTGTCAATTATTAACAGTTCCCAGAATTTTGTGGGCACCACTTGGAGAAAACAAAACTTTCCAGGGCTTTAAAGGACAATGCACTATCTTCAGTTTTGCCATGGAAAATAAGACTGAATAAAAAGTTTAATATTATTTTGTTGAATACCTGCAGCTCACTTATCTCATGGACTGCAATTTGGATCACTTCTTTAAACTCTCATCTTCTTATTTAAAAACACAGACACAATTTCATTTAAAAACTAAGTTTGCATATTTTACTACAATTACTACATTAAAATTTACTACAATTTTTAACATACAAGAAATAGAAAGGCAGTTGACTACAATACTTAATTTACTGCAATACTACTAAATATATTTCTCCATGTACTGATTTCAAGGAACTACTTTTTGTCTTATACTCATTTAAGCAATCTGTTCCCATGAGATCATACAGAATGAAAGGATCTGACTTAATTGTCTGTGTCCTTCCAAATTCGTTATTCTAATTCCTCATTTACTCCAATTTTGCCTCTTTTTGGTACAAGAACAAAATCACTAAATACGTTTCTAACATATGAGTGTTTTAATTAGTACTACTTTCTCCCAAAGAAAATTCAGTGTTTGGAACTTTTCCTCTGAGATTTAACCTCATGATCACTTGCTACATACACTAGACTTTTCTGCCCTCTGTAAAAGCTGCACACTATTAACCAACAGCACTTAATGGAGGTTGTAATTTAGCCCAATGACTGTGACCTTCCAAAGCAGTTCTGCTGGAGAGCCATTCTTTCCTATCAGAACAGATTCCTTCCTACATATATCCTTGCAGCTTCCCGGCTGCTGGCTGCTATGACATATGGTATTGCTTGACCAGCTCTGAAGTTCACTGATTTGTCTTTAAGATCCAACTAATTTCCACTGAATTTACATTTTGAATCTCTACTGAAGCTTGTCTTTTGCTCCTTTGTGTAGCATGCTGGTGCTGAGTGTCAAGAAGACAAAAGGAAATCTAATTATTTGAAGGTGACTACGTTTTTCACTGGCATGTCTCTCTTATTACAATAAGAACTGCAAGAACTAAACTTAAGAAGAACAAATTTGTGTTTTGCAATCAAGTGGGAATCAATTTTGCAATCATTTTATGTGTTATTGTGTTTATTTATGATGATTCAATGTAGGATCAAAATCATAATGTGTTATGTAATCATTATGTAGGATAAAAATCACACGTAGAAGGCAAAGAGCATGGCTGGAATGATTGTCAGAATTTCCATGAAAGGGTTTTTTCCATTTTACTTGATGAGATTTAGGTGTGAGAAATAATGTAAGACTTACTGTTAACCCCCTCATCTTTTGAAAAAAAAACAAAAAAAAACAAAAAAAACAAGCAACACTGACAAGAAATAAACCAACTAAATATCCACTGACCACACTGTTGCCCAGGCAGACAGAGCAATGTCAAACCACATTTCTGGCACCTGCTAGAAGGATTTCTTACCTTCACCGCAAACTCTGTTTCTGTTGCTTTATGAACACATCTCTTGCACACTGAATAGGAGCCAATTCCTATGTCCTCCTTGATCTCATATCCATCTGTAAAGTGAATATTGTTCCCATGTAATTGCTATAGAGAAAGACAAAATAAGGAAATCAGGACATGGGTATGTAAATACAAGGACTAGCCTAGTCTTAAGGAAGTGCTTGATCTCACCTTCTCCACAGAATTCTCCTGTCTTAGTTGGTTTTCTAAGTCCAGATAAAAATAAAAAATCAGAAGCACTTTACCTAAGCAAGTGTATCCCAGCACTTTTTACCACTTTTCAGTCTGGAAGATGGAGTTGCTCATGCAGAAGTAATGGCAAAAAAAAAAAAAGCAGTGATTTTTTAAACTATTTATGGAATTCAGACAGCCACTTCCTATTAGAAATTCACAGGGAACTGTGGGCCCAAAACTTTTGGCAAACCCACAATTCTTGACAATATAAACTTGTTTCTAATTAAAAAATACTTAGAAAACTAATTTCTAACTGAAGGGCCAGACAACATAAACAGCTAATAGCTTCACAGGTTTCAAAACAGATACCCCACATATGGGGTGTATCTCCAGTCCAGTGGAGGTCTTGTTAAGAATATGTATTACTATGAATTCCGTGTGAGAGAAAAAATATCATGTTAAGCCAGCATAACTTAAGTAAATATGTTTCTAGTGAAAATAATATGACAGTACTTTAAAACTTCTTATTTTATTATTGAGCGGTATAAAATGAATTATGGCACCACTAGTTCATATGCCCTTTGGAATGCATTTGGGCAGGTGGATTGGTTAGGTGGTGATGGCTTCCCAAAGCCCAAATCTGAGGCCTTGCTGCAAACACCATTTCAGGACTCAAAAAATGACCAGCAGCTCTACAAATCCTCTAGGATCTTCTCTCTGAAAATGTATGTTCCTTAGTAAAGTTCACATAGAACCTTCTAAGACATGTAACCTTGAAAGACATGCAAATGTGAAATTCAATACATTTTCACAGACACACACAACATCTGGGATGTAATTGCTTGGTTAATAATTCACTTTGTAGTGCATAAGAGAGTCTTTAAGAATAAACTATAAATTATTAAAACAAGCATGAAAACTGATGCCACAGACAGGGACTCTCCTCTTGAAGCAAAGTACCTCTCACTGTGGGCAAGGGAGGAACTCTTTCCTTATGGGAAAATTTGTTGCCTTTTTGAGCACTGCAATTCCTCTCCTGCTTCACTGTTCCTCTGCTCTGTTGAGCCATTTGTAGCAATTTATTTCTGGTTTACACTAATGGGAAATTACAATAAGTGGAGAGCATGTCATAGGGGAATGTCAACAAGAAACCAAGTGTCTGGCAATTTTCTTCCCTCATCAAGACACTCTGGGTTATGTGAGTACAACCGGGCTCTTGTGCAATCACAACAAGAGCAGAGTGGCCTTTTACATCCAAAAGCTTGGGCTTCATGTGTGTGAGAGCCTACAGGAGTCGTTCATTAAGCCCCTCTGCCAGCACAGACTGTATCACACAGTTCAAGACAAAACTATGGAGAATGACATTGTTTACTGAAAAAACAGCACTCCATTACCTGCCCTGTATGCACAACTGGAATAGTGCGTCAGGTATTTGGAAGTGCATTTCATTTGAGCTGTGACAAGGTGTGATCCCTATTTCATTTACAGGAGAGTAGAGAACATGAATATAAAGATAAAAGCATTTGGAAAAAAAATATCTCATTTTCCATCTCCTACATGCTGTGTAGAAACAGATGAGGGTTGGTTAGCTGTGAAATCCTGAGACAGTTTAAATACAAATCACACATTTGTATCTGCCCATCAAATGCAAAGTTTAACATCAGAATCTGTACCTGCACAATTGGATGAACAGTGATTTTGTGCACATCTTGCTGTGCAGGCTCCTGCACCAAGTTAGAGGCAACAAAGCTGAACCCTCTGAAAAGATGATGAGCATTGGCACTTGGAGGAACACCTGGGGAATCTGTAGAAGGAAGAAAATTATTTCATGAGCTGCACAAAGGATTAAAAGTAATGGCACAGCACCTGCAATAGACAAAGTCACCCCTGCCAGTCAGCAGCAGACTGATGAACTGGTAGACACGCATGAATCCAATTCACCTCCATAATCAAAACTTTGATGTGCCTTCTCTGTCCCTTTTCTCTGGATCTGAACAATGCAGGGATATTATCTGCAAGGATCTTGGATACAGAGGTTTGTTTTTTTGTCCACAGTGGCTGTCCTTTCCAATAGGAAGCACTGCCTGTGCCAGGAGTCTGCACACAGAGAGAAGGCACAGGACAGTGAGGCAAGAGGAAAGACGGACTGCTCAAGGCAGTGCGCCCCTTTGGCTTAGCAGAAGTTCTTCAGAGAGTGGAAAAAAGCTATGGGATGCTTTATCTGTCCTTTGCGGCACACTGACTACAGAAATTACAAAAGCTAGGGTAATGTGGTGTGTTGTGTGGGTGACAAGAATGCAAAGACATGAAGCAGGTGTAAAAGCACGATGTTCCAGCAGTGGTGGTTTGCAATCTCACAAGGGTCTTCCTGGAGCAGCTTCAGGAGCTGGGACCTACTCCAGTGAAGAGGTTGGTTGGCTTGTCCTCAGGTGAACAAACTATCTGGGGGTGTTTTAACTAACTTCCCCGCTCAGCAGAGGAATGTCTGAAGTTCATAGAGCCCTCAGTTGTTCTGCCTATGGAATGAAACGACCAGAGAACAGTCCCTCTTATCTATGCCACCACTCACTGAGAGAAACATCCCACCAAAGCAAGAAGAGAAGAGGTGTGCTTCACTTAAAATTCTGAGATGCTTTGAAGAAATCTTCCTCCCCACTGTATGTTCTGTCCTGGGCATTTCCTTAAGCAGGAAGAGCAGCACGACAAACCATTTCTGGGGAGCTGGCTGGGTGTTTTGATACTTATGCTGTGCAAATTTGCTCATCTTCTAGTCATTCTTTTACCCACTCTCCTTTGTATTTCCTCCAATGCAACACGTGATTTACCATGATGAGGTTTAGTCCTTCTGAAGCCATAATATGGTAAAAATAAATTATCTGCCCAGAAATAAACAAAACTGAGACTGCAGCTAATTCTACATCTCATTACAAAGTCTCCTCAGCTTTAACCGGAGTCAGAAATAAGTACAGCAAGTCTGACCTCACTCCAAAGTATGTGAAAAAGCTATGTCTTTTTTGGTAAAATGATGTGGGCTATTTGTTTATCTCAGAGTGTTGATGCGTACTGCCCTTGCAAATACAGGGATGAATCACACCAAAACTCTTGCATCACTGGGTGCTTCTCACAATGGCAAATATACTACAGCAATTTTCTGAGAGAGATTAATTAAGGGGAAAAAAAAATATTTGCTTTGAAAAGGGAATGTTCAGATCTGAACACTCCTGATTTTTAGGAAAGCTGTGATCCAGCTCCAAACCACAAATGTTAGGTCATCCTTATTTAAAATAATTGTTCCTTCATAATTCCCCACTAATCTCTTTATCAAACACTGTAAAAGAGCTACTGATTATTTGGTGTTCAATATAAAATATTCATCATCACTGACTGATATGCCCATCGTATGAACTAAATGTTAAAACACTAGTGTTAAATATAAAACTGTTTTTAAATCATGTTAACTAACTGTGATAGTTATGAACTATAATTTTCACAGTCTCAATAAATCCAGAATCACTTCATATATCTGAATTAGAGCCACGTGCAAACACCTGTCTCATATAATGTTTACCTTCCTAACTGTAAAAGCCATAATGCTTTGTCCCACTTAAGCATCTCACATTACACGATCTATAGAGTTCATAAATCTTAAGTAATTTACATCAATATGCTTCACTAGGGTTAGTAAACATTATTTTCTTATTTGCAGAAGAGGAGATTTAGACACCTGAGGTATAATCTTACATACTTTTTCTCATCAGTAAAGCCAGCTTAATATGTCTTGCTGGTTATGGAACCCCGTCACTTAAAATAACACAGCCATTTGTGGACTGAGCTCTAAGTTGGATCACCACAATGTCTTGGTCTGATCCTTGTTCAAATCACCACTTATTACCTGGATCACTTCAGTTTCCTGATCCCTATTAGGCTCAGGGACATATAGCTGAGTCAACATAAATGAAATTTTGGTCCACAATGGTGGACTTCAGAAACCAGAGGCCAGAAGAAAACACCTCCAACTCAGATGAATCCCTGAGAAAAGTTAATGTGAAACCATATCTGCAGAAAGCTGTTTCAACCTCCAGGCCAAAGAAAGCTTTCTATGATAGAGCAAACTGCAAGACTGGCAAGGTACTGGATCCAGAACTTTGACATGAACCTGACTCTAGGCAGTAGAGTTCATTCATAAAGACACTCTCCTTGTAATTACTCTCCTTGGTAATATACATGTGCTGCCAATCTGCAAGGGTTTTTAGGGTTTTTCTATTGCTCTGGAACTCAAAATTGTACAGGAACTCACAATTACTCCCATTTGGAAATGATAGGGTTTGGTTCTCAGGCCACTTTTCATAACAGCATGAACCAGAAGCCATGGCAGTCCATCCCCCTACTCTAGCTCCCACCCCAAGACAAACCTTCTCAGTCAGTGTCTTGCATGAGATACTAAACTGAATGAGGCAATAGCAACAACACATACAGTGTAAAATATAATCCTGGACATCAGCACATGCATGAAGTACAAGGGTTTTCATGGCAGCACAATGGATGATGTGTGAATTTCCAAAACAATCCAAACTCTTAGCTTTTCTTTGAGACTTTCCACGGAAGTGGCCTACATTTTTCTCGAGATCAGACTAACTTGTACTCTTCATTTTTTTAGAGAAATGGCCATGTGGGTCCTCTGAAATCTGAACTAAAGCTAAAATCAGAAATATGAAAGTGTAAAATATATTTGCCATGTTTCCAGATACCCAGAGAAAAACTTTTTTCTTTTTTTTTAATATACATTGTGTAAGACTGCACATCCTCAACAAACAAACAAACAAAAAACCACAACCCCAAACTAAAACACCCTAGGAACCAAGACTAGAATATATGTCTAGCAAGAGGCAATGTTATAACTGGGATTACCCTTCTGAGGTTACTGATATTCTTGTTTTGATATTTTGTGCAGCAACCAAGATATATTGCACAAAATGTGATATACTTGTTAGGAAAGAGAAATTATAAGAGCAACATCCTCACTATAAGAATTTTCTAAGTATTGTAGACCAAATTCCCTTTCAGCATAGTTCCACTGATCTGAGAATCTGATGATTCTCTATTACTATTAGCCATCCATTACTATTAACTTCCAATAGTCCACAGTCTATGTCATTTAATAATTAAAGAAAACACCTATAGAATATGTATTTAAATACTACCTTGCAGAGATTCAAGGTTCTTTGAAGTTGAGATGACTTAAAACAGTTGAGGTAATTTAAAACAGATAAATTCAGCTAACATAAACAACAATAATAGTAATAAAATAGCAAATCAACTATTAGTTTTACTCTAAAAAATGCAGATATTAATGTCTGCAATGTGAAGATGGTATTGTGGTAACGTGAAGTTGGTGAAATGTTTTATGAACTTCTTTTCTTAGAAATGCAAACTACTCTGCTTTCTGCTGAACATTGCAAAATCCAGCAATCCTATGGGTGATCAGACTTTTTGACTCAGTTGGAATGGGGAGGGAGAGTATCGCTGAATCACTAAAAAGATCAGTCACCCATGTGCAATTGCACTAACCTGTGGGGGTCCGAGATGTGAACTCTGGATCAAAATGAAAGGTGTCTTCTGGTCGTCCCACTGCAGGCTTGAAAGGTGGCTTGATTTCTTTCCTGTATAGTTTCTACAAGAAGAACAGACCACAGGCAGCAACATAACAACAAACTGTGTACCTTCAGTACCCACATATATGCTCCCCCTTGTTTATCATGTCCTTTGTCATCTCAGTGCCATCCTTCAAGACTGACAAAGAAGATGATAAAGCCATAGCTCTGGCTCTTCCCTGACTAGTAGGCTTAAAATCCGTGCCCTGGATGGTCCCTGCAGTTTTTACTTACTAGAACTTGGCATATAAACACAGATATTTCTGGTTGAACATGGACTTATGGAATATTCCGTCTGGGGCATCTGAAAATTCATTGATCTTATGGGCAGGGCTGGCACATGCAATGGTAGCACCAAGAAACTGCACGTGGGTGACTTCAGCATTACAGCAACGACAACGAGCACAAATAACCACTAGGAAGTGGTGACTGCTTTAGCATTTATTAGCATTTATTATTTGTAAAGAACTAGCAATATGTTGGGTGCTCTGCCAGACGGAGCTGAGCAACAGGCTTGGAGCTCACAACCTAAACAAGCGACTTGTTCTTTTGGCATATCTGGTAAAATGGAAGAGGTTTAGTAGAAGAAATTCCCATCAAAACACAGCAGGAAGAAAGCACTGCAGATGGACATGAAATCATGTTAAAGGCCTAAATGTGCTTGTGCTGAGGAGAAAAAACAAGGAAAAAGCTGAGGAAGAGCAGAGTGTGTAAACAGGTAAGGACTGCAAGGTGAGCAAGGGGCATGTAGGGGAGCATGTAAGTAACAGTCACATATATGCATGGCAATACTCTGCCTTCATTACCAGGGATTTTCTGGCCTCTTTACTCATGCTTAGCAATGGTTAAGAAATTGCTTCACTGTGCTTCTTTGTAAGCATTCATACACACACATGTGCATGCACTCTGGGAGATGAATAAACCGAGGCTCAGTATGTCTGAACCTAACCTGAAGCCTACAGAGGTTAATGGAAAGAGTCATATTGATTTCAGCAATATTTGCATCATCTCTCCTCGAACTGGCAAAACCTGAACACCACGCTGATGGCAGCATGACAGCATGACAGAGCTCACAGTTGACTCCCTGCCCCACGTTTCCATCCCTAGGCTGTACTCTCTTTCTAGCAATGCTTTTGTTCTCAGATTTCAAAGAGCTGAATTAGTTGCCACAGACAGCCCCCAATAATTAACATGTCTAAGCAAAAATATGACATTTCTTTCAAACTTTTAGGTCACAAAATTGCTAGAGAGCAATTTTATGACTGCCTGCAATATGTATTTTCAGGTTAACTCTTAAAAAAACTTCATAATGAGCTGATTTTTCAGAATATTTAATGGAGATTAATACATGTTTGTCCAGTTCTCTGCATACAGGAAGAGTCTTTTAACTCTGGCTTTTTTTTTTTCTTTTTTCTTTTTTTTTTTTTTTTTTGTGGTGAATTAACTTCTATAATATAAAGCATGTGGTCAAACCCAAGATATATATACATCAACATAATTTAAACTTCATTTTGCATAGATTAATGGTTCTTGAGGTAGGACATTCTGCAGCATAGTATTAGCATTAGCATAAAGCAGATGTTTGTGGCTGAATTATGATTCCTTGGAAAAGTGGAATGGTGAGGCTGGAAACGACTCTGCAATAATTAATGGCCATTTCAACATAAAAAGTTCTTGCTTGCGTAAAACTGCTCCGTATCTTCTGAGAGAAAAAGAGATGAATAATTGCAGTGAGCCACAATGGAAAGCCAGTCTTCCAAATAATTAAAAGCCAGTTGCGATCTTAAGCAGGAAGTGTCAGTCATCAACTGAAAAGTATCAAGCTCGTAATTAACATATACGTTTTTCTGTCTGCACAGAGCTTTAAAACAGCACTCAGCACCTACTGAGGGTCTCTCTGTTGCTAGGATGTCACCTTGCGAAAGCTATTTGCTTCCAGCTTCCCTTTATTTGTCTTAATTCACAACTGCAGTCCTTTTACTGCAGAAAGCAATATGGTCACACACACGCTTCCTTTTTGAATCAAATGCACCCCTCATCCTGTGAGGTCCAAAAATTGGAAAACATTTTACAACTGTACATCATTCGTGAACTGCACTCGCTCTTGATTATCGTAACCATATTCTCCCTGGCCTTTCAATTCTGCACCCCCCATCTGCAGTTTCTTAAGTGCTGCTGGATCCACATTTGTGTTTTGAATCCCTAACCCACATCCTCCACTACTAAGGAGGGATTTGAGATTCATCATGACTCACAAGCCACCTAAAGATGTGTAATCACAAATCCGCTTGTTGGGAGGGGATGGAAACAAAGAAGTTTCTTGTGTGGGAGAAAGGAACCTCCTCTGAGTGTAAACTGGACGACACCCTTTTCCATTTCCTTTTCTACATGCAATAAAAATTGTTTCTGGTGTTTCTGACCAGACGATTAGGAACAGCAAAAGGTAAACTGCCTAAAACATTTTTCCCAGGCTCTTGAATCAGGTAGCTAGATCAAATCATTGAGGAACAAGAAAGAGCAAAGCAGTGTCATCTGTGGGCTTTGCCACCCCACACTGGCTGCACTGTCCTGAGAGAACCAGTACAACCAAAGCCAATTCTCTGAAGCAAACTAAACCACAATGCAGAGTTAAATGTGAAAGCTTGCTGCAGGCAGAGAACATCTTCCTTTAATGTCCTTTAAATGTCCTGTATCTTGTCTACTCCAATATGCAAAGCGACAGAAACTGACCTAAGAAAACAGGAAGAATCACAGCCATTGTCTTCCATGTGAGCAGAGAACAAATCTCTTGGAGAGTTTGAGATCCTTCTGGACTTTCCAAGAATATTTCTCATTTTACGTGAAATGTATTAACTTATTATCTCTTACCATGCTCCCAAAATTATTCAGGGTTGATGGACCAACCAGAGTACGTAGCAAGGTAACTTTGAAATCTTTCAACAGTTTGGTGTCAATCTGTGACAGTTAGAATTGGGTACCTCCTGCTCTGAAGATGTTTCTCATTGTAGCTTAGTTAAGCCAATGTTTGGCTGCTACCAAAAAGCCCACCTGCTTTCTCTGCTTGCATTGTGCCTGCACTGGCATTCGTATGACATTGTTGTGTACCAGGATTTTCACAGAATTATCTTTCTACTGGCATAGCTTGCTGAACTTGTTAATCACAGCATCAGACAAGAACCAGAGACGGTGCAAAAACGGAGATAGGTGGCTGCTGGTGTGCACAGTGGCACGGTGCCATGCTTTGGTGCCACTATAATTTCAGCTTAGCCGGACAGTAAAATAACATCCTCCTTCCCTTCTGTGCACTGTGACTCCTCTGAGTCACCTACACCTCTGTGACAGGACTCTCATGCTGTCCTTTCTGGCTGAGCTCTCACAGTCCCCTGTGAGACCATTTGCAAGTGTGCATCAAGGGAAATGTACTGCAGCCCACGGGCTGGGCTCAGAGCAGGGACCAGAGACAAGAACATGGGTTGCAATCTCCACATGGCACTCTGGCAGCTCAGAAAATGCTGAAGCAATGTGAACTGAAACATTTCTCTTTTGCTAAGTCAACATGTGAATATGTAAAATACAGGAACTTTCAAATTGAATTTATTTCCAGAACCTTGCAACCCACAATATAACACTATATTTCAACATTCTTTCTGATTTGTGTATAAAGAAAAAAAAAAAAAAAAAAAAAAAACTAATTTTCTTGCAGGTCCCAATGATCTTTTCTTAATATATATTGCCAGATCCCTGATATGAGCTTCATCTGAACACACCTCATTAGCTGGGACTCAAACAATACACCAAGGAGACCAGTAATCAAATGCTGGACATGTGTCTGTCCTTTGCTATTTATAAGCAGTTAATTTACCATTATCTTAAAAAAAATTCAGAGAAACAAATGCCTGTATATGTGCCTTGAAAATGTCAAAACCCCCAAAACGATAAAAACCACCCCCATCCCCCATTAAAAAATAAATAAATAAAAAAGAAAAAAGTTTAATTTAGTCGAAATCTATTTAGTCATTTCCTCAATGGTTTCTTTAATGAAAATTGAATTACTACTTAGACACCTTCCAGAAACTGAAAGATGCTACCCTCCACAGTGACGCATTCGTAGTGTGAGAATAAACTCCCTTGATACATACACCTGTCACGGAAAACCTAATAGGCAGACAAAAGGACGAACTACCTCCTAAAATGTTTGTCCTCCTCTAGATTAAATACAAGTGATAGAGAAGCTAGTAGAATTCAGACCTTGGGATCAACTTTTGCTGTTTGCATAATCTGTAATTAAATGATTCACAATTCCAGATTACTTTGATCTCTGATTAATATTAGAGGAAAAAGAACTTGTGTCCCCTTTCTTCTCACTCCTTCCCAGCAGTATTTGACAGTTCATTTTCTAGGATGCCAGTTGCTCCAGTTACAATTTAGCCTGTCATCTAAATAAAAACCACTGCTTTAGTCCAAGTCCTCTGCCTGCAGTCTGCAAAAACAGACTTCATTTTTTATTTTCAGAGAAAAGCCAGAAATTCTTTAAGCATGACCTGGAAAGAAGAAACAGAAGTACAAATACTAAGATCCAGGCTGTGCTTTCTAAGATCCATTGACTGAAATTATCTGAGGTCAACCCAATTGGGGCCTGCTTGTCTTAGGGAGGAAAGGGGTACATATGTAGTAAGCAGGTAAAACTTGGAAGGAGCTGTGCACCTAATCTTGGGAATCACAGCCTTGATCATGAAAGACAGTTCATTCATTTAACACAGTATCTATCCAGTTTGCATCATAGTGTCTACTAAATGCCTTAGAGCAGTAAGTGATATTTGCAGAAACCTTCATCTATTTTTCACCCTGCAAAGTGAGGACTTAGAGTTTTGTTACTGGGTGACAATAGCCATGAAAACAAGACTCATACAGAGACTAGCTCGTGACACAGTTTAAATTTTGTCATAAATATTCTATATTAGATCGTCCCCAGTTCATTTAGTGCTACCTACACAACACAAACTACATCTGGACTGAAAGGCAGCGCCCCAGAGTATGGGAATGGAGCAAAGATATTGTGGGAAAGGACTGGAGGAGGACGTTTTTCTCTAGCCACATTCATGCTTTCCAGGCTTGTACCTATTGTTTCTGCTGTACTTGGCATGAGCATCTGCAGCATCATCACAATACTTTTCACACTGTATGTCATTTCCACTGCATTCAGTGTCTTCATCCAAACCAGACGCTGCGTCTGGTTGTGTCTGTTTGAAGACAGTGAGAGACGGGAAACAAGTGGGAAATGACTGCCTCAACAGGTAAACATTTCAGTGATAGAGACAATAACCAAGCCTGAACCCAAAACCCAAGGGAACAGCTCTGACAGTAGATGAAGATCTGATTTATACATTTCTGTCTGCAATTCTAATGATTTCATCACCAAGATGTCTAGACATCACACATAACTTGGAAACAAGCAACTAACTCTCATTTCTGTTTTGAAACTCTTTTTTTTTTTTTTTTTTTTAACTGAGATGAAGCAGCTTGGTACTTTGTTCCTGGTTACCATGTCACTCCTATTGTAGGAAAAAGCTTGCTTAAAAAAGACATCTTTTGCATTGGGTTTCTAGAAGATAATAACCCATTCTGACCCTTCATGATAAAGGGACTTCTGATAGAGGATCATTTTACTACAGCCTCTGAAAGTTCCAACACTGGTATGATAACACAGAAGTGTTATCATACCTGTCAAGGTAGCTTAGCTCTCCATGAGAGCTTGCCTCCTTGCTCACTGAGGCCTTTATATTACCAAAGTATAAAACAAATCAACATTCATATCCTGCCTTATCAATGTCATTGTTTATTGATTTTATATACATGATGGAAATAAAAAAATGAGGGCACTGGGGACTCTTTTCATGCAACAACAGAGAGATCAGCACTAAACACCTGTGCATGACCCATTTTTTCTCTATGACCATGCTCTGTTTCTTTCCACGGATGTGGAATGTGCTAACAGTTGGTTGGATCATCATCATAACACAAAATCCTGGCTTCAGCTCAAGGCTGGGGTGGCTCATGCTGCTCTGAAATGCATACTTTGCTGCTGCTGTAACTAGATAAACTGCACAGGACCTCCACGAATGATAGCAAAATTAAGATTAAATGAGGAAATGGATTATAAAGATGATAGCTGATCTGTGTAATAATGATCCATCAGTCTCCAAGAGAGTGCAATAATGTTGGATTAAAATGAATCTTTACAGCTACATTTTACAGCAAAGTTACAGGGCTAGATAAGTCAACACAGGGTGGTTAAATAAACCTCCATCTCTGCCTCCAAGTCATGTTTAAGCACACCTACTCTCTTGATGGTATATATTTCCCTGACCTCTCCACAAGAACATTTCAAATGTTGAAGGACTATACAATGGACCTTGCTGAACATGTTTTCACGATGCAGAGACTCATTTCTCCATGATGAGTTACTGAGTTGCTCCACTAGCAAACAGAAAAGGAGAAACTCTGCCACCATTGCAATGCTCCCAGCTGAATTAAGATTTATGTACCTACCCTGTATTTACTTTAATTGCAAAGCTGAGGACGAGAGGAATGCAGACAATAACAACATCATCTCTGTAGGATTGTCTATATTTAAAACTACCCTTAAAGCTGATGCAACATACCCCGTAATTTTTTTGTAAATGTAAACTCTTTAAACAGAATCTTATGATTAGTAAAAAGCAGAAGGAAAAAAAAAAAATCTAGACTCCAGAACATATATAATAGGACTAAAAATCAGTAGGACCATAAAGAAAATTCTCAAACTCCACTTTCATTGATCATCTTGTAGCATGCTTATGAGTCATGCCAACTCTTCAACATGCAGTCCAAAGTAGATTCATGAGTTTTTCCAAAATAAGTGATTCTGTGTGTCTTCTAAAGGCCACTTGGGCACCACAAAATGTGCTTTCACAGAGATGCTAGCTTTATTGTAAAGCCCTGGGCAGTGTTTTGAGAAAGGCTGTGGGACAGATTCATACTGTTTTACCAGAATTTGTGGTAAGAATTGCATTAGTAAGAACAGCGACCTGTTACATTGGCATTCATGAGTGAATTCAGATCAAATATTAAAGAGATGTAATGACACCATAACATAGGTAAGACAAAATTAAACTAGAAAATTCTAGTGGATGTGGAAAACAGGAGCTATGATGCGTTGGCAGATGCTCAGATAGAAAACAGTTTGCCTCCAAGTTTGACAAAAAATAATTGATTTGAACAAACATGATACTGAAAAAGAGAGGTTTAACCTCACTGCAAGTCTGAATCAAGCACTTAGATAAACTCTACAGCCAGCTTTATGAGCTGTAGCTGATAGCAATAAAATAAATCCTTGTTTACCACTCTATGAATCACGTCTGACATGTCTTATTAGAACCATGTTATATTTGATAAAATGTTTGCTGTTCCTGTTTTGAGTGCCGATGTTAAATTAATGACTCACCTTAATAAAACATCAACCACTTGTAAAAGGAGTTGCTATTTCCTGTTCTGGCTGGCTGACTTGCATACCCAATGATGCAAAATCACTGTTCTGAAAATCTACCTGTGTTGTTTTCTGTTGTGCCCACCACAGCAGAAGAGCCAGATCCTGTCCTACAGTCACTTAGAAGGGGCCAACAAAGCTATTTTGTTAGAGGACTTACAACACCAGCCAGTCCCAGTAGTACCATGCTGTGTTTCAGAGACGGGTACACCTGGAAGTCTTGGGGCTTCTTGGAGCTACATGGGCAGATATGTGCAAGAGTGGACCTGGGGCTACTCTGAATATTTTCAAGAGAGAAAAAGATTCCTGGAAGTCTCTGACACTGGGAATAATAAAACTTGCATTTAGTCTAGCTTGCCAGAGCTAATGAGAAGGACAAGTATTTCAGTATGGAACATAAAACCAGAAGGATGGAGGGACCTAAAGCATCAGACAGCTTCACTTTGGAGTACCTTTTTCAAACTCAGCCCTTTGGCTCTGTGTTCCTTTGCAATTGAAACATGAAATATTACAGGAATTCCTTTATTTACAACTGATTGTTTGCACTCCGATCCAGTGCCCACAACCAATGAATCATGCTTATTAGAGTTGAATGTGGAAATTACTCTGCAGAACACTGCAAAGAGCCTCAGGTAGTACTGTGATTAGCCAGCCCATCAGAGAGAACAGAGACAAGCAGTCAGAGAAAACTGACAATTGCAGAAAACAGATTTCTATTTCTTTCACTTTGGGGTATGAGAACAAATGTTTATATATATGACAGAGACATAGGTACCCACTTAAAAGGCTCTAGGTCCTGGTTCTTCTACGTTAGAGATCAATTAATCTCTTTTATAAACATGCCAGTTGGTCTTCAAAAATTTAGCTAAGAAAAAATAAAAAATTAAAATGCTGCTCCACTTACATTCCAGTCTATAGTAACAAAGAATGGGTGACGTTTAATTTCTTCCACTCCATCGAATCCAGCACCTGACAAGAGAATGAAAGAATCAAAATAAAGTCATGCTTAGTAAAGTGCTACATGATATCACCTCTCCAGCTTTCCTCCCCATCCCTCTTTTATTCTGACAAGCCAGAATCACCATCTAAAATTTCCTTCTAGAAAAGAAAGCCTGAACTGCCACAACCATACAAACAACCATAAATGCAGACAATGGCACCTCATTAATGGATATTTGAGGGCTGAAGGTTTTTTCTTTTTCTTTAAGTGAGGCTGGTGTCAAGGCTGCTCTCTTCAGGCTTCAGATGAGACATAGGATTTCAGCTGCAGCAGAGCACAGGCACCAGCAAGGCCAGGAGGGGCCCCAAAACATCCCAAAGCTCCAGCAAGGCTACTGCTGCTTCTTGCCACCAACGGGAGATCCCCTGCCTGCACTGATTAGCAAACCTTCTATAATCACCCATTCTCTGAAGGCACGAAAAACTGCATTACTATTAAGTTCAGACCCAAATTACCAAAAGGCTCCAAATAATTTCAGGCAAGTCAGGTTTTTAGGTTCTCCCTTCTCAAACACCATCTTCAAATTTGCATGAGTACCAAAATTATCACTCTTACTGGTATCTTTCCTTCACTGGTAGTACTGTTAGACTTCTCTATTAAACTTTCTCTATTGGAAATTTAAGGAAACTCCCCTGAGATCTGGTAATGAATCTAATCTTAAAAGATTGTGTTTTTTTTTTTTTTTTCTTCCCTTAGTTGAATTTACATGCTTCAATACCATCACAAAAACTAACAGGTGCTCAGTAATAATTAAACAACTGTCAGAGATGACTTAGCATTCAATTTTGGAAGAGCTGATCTGACTTTATTAATAGTAGTTTTCATTTTTGCAGAAGGAGAAATAACATCTGGAAGCAAAGGCTTCACAATGCAATTTTGGAACCAGTTCCTGAAAGGTACCCAGCGCTTCTTTGCAAGGATGCTTAACATCCTCGATTCTCAGAAGGACTCAGGATTAATAAGCATCTTGAAAAAGGCACCTTAGAGGACTCAGCATTTTAAATGCAATAGTTGTACTTCCTGAGGATCTGCATTACAAGCAGTTTAGAAAGGTCTTGTCAACTCAAGCTTTTGTAAAATGTGACATCTGCTATCCTTGTGTACAAGACATTACTGATGTTTGCCAAAATGCACTGATCAGGAACAGCTTCCTACAGTCTGCTTAATGTTCACTGATGAATGGATATGAAAAGCAAACACTTTGTGAACATAACATACCGGATTATGTCAGGCCTGCTGCATAGTAACTCAAAAGTAATGCTGGTCTAATTACTTCCCCATCCTGGTAATCTTATAGTATAGACAAATGTAAGAGATGCACACAAGGATAAACAATCCTAGCCTGGCATACATTATTAGGTGTTCTGAGGTGACCCTCCTCCCCAGGCAGGAGTGATGTCTTTGGGTTATAATGGACAGTTCTAGGAAAACACACCATGAAATCAAATCTTAGAGAAAAGAGGACAAAAGAGAGAACATCATTATGTAGCTGTATAAATCTATTGTATATCTGCAATGTTAGTGTGGAATCTAGTTAATTCCCTCACCTAGAAAAGGGTGTATCTTATAGAGGTAAGAAAAAATCAAAGTGTAACAACAAAGGGTATGACCTGGAAACAGATGACTGAGGAGGGTATATGACAGAGATCTGAAAAGTCATGATTATTTGGAAAGGGAGGGGGAGGAGAGTTAAGGATTAAGCATTCCACATCTTTTTCTGTATGAGAATTTATGTCAATAAATGATGCTAGTAGGAATCAAGTTCAGAGCAATCTGGAGGTCCTTCTTCAGACAGCAGCTAGTTGTGTGACGTGTGGAATTACTTGAAAAAGAGGACACGGAGGCAAAATACTTATATAGGTTCAGGGGGAGACCAAAAAAGTATGTGGAAAATAAATCTGCTAAAGATTACTTCATTGACAAACCACAAGAGGTTCAAGAAAACCCTTGCTTGACCTTAAAGCAGGTGGAGACTAGGAGAGAATTTGTGTGAAGTATCACATATGCTTACCCTATTCTTGCTCTTCCCAAGATAGTTGTTTATGACTTCTAGGTATTGGACAAGAAAATACTAAGACTTAGATAGCAATTAGACTTGTTTTATTCCTTTCTTAGCATAGTTTTTGCATGCACAGTCTGAAGTCTGTACTAGATACCCCTGACAGATTCATTCTAATTTCAGCAATGCCAACAGAAAAATGAAACCAGCACAGCTACTCTGAAAAGAATCATATTAAATAACTCTTCAGAGAAGAAGTATCTGTGAAAAATATCTTGTGTTCAGTGGTGGTGATTGGAAACTTTGTAATGTACTGTGGATGTTCTTTACTAAATGAGGGTGAAACCTAAGTGCCAAACCAATTTCAGAGGACTAGGATAAATGCTAAAGACACTCCAAGTTACTGGTAGCATTCCTTAGTCTTCTCTGCTCTGCTTCCTACCCTGCTGCTTTACTTTTCTGTCTTGTAGGCTTATGGATAGATCATTGTGTGATGGAAATGACTGCCCTTTTACAGATGATATACTATTTGAAACAAACACTTTTTGCTACTGTTTTTGTTCTTTCTTTTCTGCAAAAATGCAGAAATCAGAACCAAGGAAAAATCCCACCCGTAGCTACTTCTATTTGCGGAGTACTAAAGTGTGCAGTAAGGAATGTAGCATGCAGTTGACATGGGTATTTGTTTGAAAAATTAGCATTTCCCACTTGGGGCCACCTCAGAGCTCTGGCACAGAAAGAACACGTTGTTGGGAATGTCATGGCTTGACTCCATCTTTGGCTAGCTTAATGTACTAAAGAGATTTAGGATGGTAATAGCCTAATTTTGCAAAGAACGAAGGACTTCTAATTCACAACAGCTGATTTTACATCAGAGAGAAGATTCAGTCCTTCCTGCAGTTTTTATTCCCCAATTTTCCCTGCAGTGAGACCTGATTGTGTAGCCCACAGCTCCCTCGTGGCCCCTGTGCTCTGGCTGCTGGCAGTGGCTTGTGACTGGGTCCCCTCCAAAAAGAGAGGAAAGATGTGGCCTGAGGGCATGTTCAGGGATAGCTCTGAGAGCCCCTAGGGGCCACCCTGACCCTGTGTAGAAATCAAAGGGAGAAGTTACAGCATTAGGTGCTTATGGGGCAGCCTCTCTAGATTTGTTCTTTGTGTTTGGGCCATTCATCTACCTTCTACAAATCTAGAGTGGTATTGAAAAAGAGATGTGCTCTCACAGAGAAAAGAAGCCCAGAAGAGGTCCCATCTGGACTGTCCTACTTCATGGGGGTGGACAGTTCTCAAAATAGAGAACCATCCATAATCTGCAGTTGAGGACTGAGCAGACCACTGAAGTGCAGCACATGGCTCCATGACTGTACAACTGCTGCCCTCCTCTAGTTTTCTACTTGTCTTTTTTTTTTTTTTTAAATCCACTTTAACTACAATTTTGTAACCAGACCTCTCTGTGAAGAATAATTTGCACAATCAAGCCAGCAAGTGTTCCTACATGCCATGCAGTCCCACAAGGGTCCAAGATGATAAATAGTGCTTTTGGATCTAATTGCCAGCTTAAACACATTATGGAGTGCATATAGATTTATATAAAAGTAGCCTCATGTTAATAAGCGAAAACTTCATTATCTAAGATTGTTTTATGACTGTAATAAAAGTGTCTGTGTGCAGTAATGAAAGAATGTTTTATTTATAATTGTTTTTGATTTTGAATCATTATGGACAACATGAGCCCTGAAATACACTAAGGGAAAAAGAGACCTATGAAAGTTTATTATTTGAATATTCAAAATGATTAGAAGGGGTTTACAGAATTTTAATTTCAGGGAATAAAATTTTAGTGACTCTACATTTTCATGATCTGGGCCATCCATTTTGAAATTCATTCTAAGGTTTACAAAAATGACACACAATCACTATGATGAAGGAGAAGTTTGTTTTTAAAGTTTGTTGTCTCATAAAACTGAAAAATAAATCTTTCTATGCATCAAAGAAGAATGTTTCTTCTCCAGTAACATAGGACTAAGGAAAGAATAACCATTTCTTCAGCTTCTATGATGACCCTACCAGCACATGCTTTTATTGTATACTTTCTCGGCCAAAAATCTTAATTATGAGGACTCTGGAACTTTATGGTGCTTAGCAGTTTAAGGAGTTCCTGAAATGCTGTTTAGATTTGTTTACCTGCCTGAACAGATTGAGGACTTTGGGTATGTGAGAATTAGTCCTTTCTTTAAGTTACTAGAAATGCAATGATCTAACACCTTTACTGTTTACCATAATTTCTTTTCTGAGATGCTTACACCTTGTTTGCCTGGATATTCCAGTTAATCAATTTTAATAATTTAAAATGATGTCCATCCGTAATCTGCAATTTTTTGTATTTAAACAAAACAACATGAATGTAGTGTTGTATTGACTATTTGTACAATAGGGTATATAGGTTCAGAAAAGGGCAGACAATGCCCATAACAAAAGATGCCAAAGAAAGACTTTCAATTTCTTTAAAATTTGTTAAAATTGTTAAAGAATTATCATGGACACCAGACTTAAAAACAGAATCAGTTAAACAGTATCACTAAGTTCTTTCTCTGCCTCATTTATCTCCCTCCAATCCTAGTATTTTTTCGTTTGTACCTAAAGCTTCAAAACAAAGTTTCAACAAAATTTTATAATTCCTAGTCAATCTTTACTTCTATTTCTTAAAATATCAAAACCGAACAGCAAAAAGCAAAATGGTAGTCAGAATAAAATGATTTTTTAAGCCCAGCATCTTTTGGTTTGCCAAAGTTAGAAATATTTTAGGACTAAATACAAACACTCTCCAGATTTGCAAACTTCTGAAACAATGACTGAAAACAAGTGTTTGATCCATAATATGGTTCACACTTTATTTTAGCATGCTTCATTAATTTTCCAAAGATTTTTCAAAACCGGATGTCTAAGGCTACTTTTCTTTTATCTTCAGACTGATTCCTTTCCCAGAAAAAAGCTAAAATCTACAAAGCTGAAGTAGTCCTTTTATCTACTGACTTCTGTTCAGCATTTAGGCCAACCATTTAAGTATTTCTTCTTTCATTACCAACAAGCTTGTTTTCAACATCTTTCATGCTGATTCTCAATCAGTTGATAAATAGAATGACTTCAGAAGCTTTCCACTGGTATCCCTCAAAAAGTTAAGGTCTATTTTTCTGTTAGTCTTTTAGATTTTATTTCCTTGAGTGTTTTTGTTATAAATAATCTCTTCCGTTCTCCCAGCCTTCATATTATTTCAGCAAATCTCAGGTTTAAAACTTTGCCCCTTAGTAATTCCCCATGTTAAAATTGAGAAAATACTGGGGCTAGAATTGTCATGGCTCATTTCTAAAGCTAAGCAACTTCATTGATTTAAGTGAGCAGCTCATTTTTTAAAGGACCAGTATCCAGAAATTCCCAGTGATTTCACTGGAGCACATTTTGGATACACAGCAAACTGCGGGAAGCCACAAAATGAGCAATGCAGAACAAAACAAGAGACAGAGAAAGAGAATATAGCAGAAAGAAACAGAAGAGGTGAGTGAGGAAAAGTTTATATTTGCTGCAGTGTCTTACTTTCCTGAACGTGGATTAAACCTAGAAATGCTTTGACTCTATTTTTCTTTAACATCAACCCAACTGCTTGATGGCAACTGAAACCTGCTGAGAAATGTGTTTTTGCACTGTCACCTCTATGGCATATCAGACTATAAGAGGTGCCATCAGGTCAGGAATTAAAACCCATGGGAGCACAGTGCCTCCACAGGCTATGCAGGTGTCCCCCCAAGAAGGAGAGGGGTCACATCAGTGTGCCAAGTGCCTGGTTCCCTATTCCTGCCTTCTTCAGAAGATGGCTTTGCAGGAGGCTGGGTGGTCTCTGTTCCCTGTGTGGAGCAAGGGCTCTTGTCTCTCCTGGGGGCAGCCTATGCCATACCGTCCTCCTCCATGGGAGCCGGGCTCCCTCAGAAAACAGCTGAGCCCCCATGTTGGGTCACTGCATGATGCAGGGGCTTCAGCTGAGTTGCTGGATTCATGCAGAAAACATCCGTTCACCTAAAATGTGACAGTCCAAGGTGGCTCATTGTAAAACAGAGGGCTGGAACAGCCCACACGCTGCCTCACCTGAAGCAAGGGAAAGAGATACTAGAGTAAGAATGTCAAGCAAGAGCTCAAGGGCACAGAGCACAGCATTCATCTTCCCCACGTACTCATGCACACACACGTGTACCTATTAGGAAACGCAAGATCCATTGCTCAGGCAGATGGTGGTAGAATTGGGCTGTCAGGCAGTTTGCTCTCTGCCGTCTGTCAGACCGCTAATGCTGTGACAGCGGCACAGAGGATTAAAAGCACTACGTGGCAGAGCTTCAGCAGTACCACCTCCAGCATCTGAGAAGTGAGTGTGGGTACCACAAGGATAAGGAGAAACCTCTCTTGAACCTCTTGCTCTTTCCACACCTCAGAACAAGTGATTTCCTAATTCAGCTTTTCGCTTCTAACCTTATGTCTCCAATCTGAAATAATCTTGCAAGTGTAAACAGTTGCAAGCAATACCAGCAAATTGCTTTTCACAAGTCTCAATATTTAACCGGTCTATGCCATTCCTTAAAAGACGAGTAATTTATTAGCTGCCAAAACTCCCATAGATGACAATGAGAGCCAACTACACATTTAAACAGGACCAGCCAGCTCCCTTCTTGTGATACAGTTTAGAGAATTGAAGGATTCAGTTTCTGGTCACAAGGTCGGTCTTTTACAGAGCCTTTGAGTTTTCAGAGCAAAGCATTTTCATCTAAAAGTACTGACACAGCAAAACATGTCTAGAAATTTCTTAAGACATTGACAGCAGAAATCTATTTTCATTGATAGCTACACAGGTTGGCTGTGTGGCAGATGCATAAAGAAACTCTTGTCCCTTCAAAAATAATTCATTATTCCAATGAAAAATAATTCTTATTCAGCACTAAGAAGTTCACACAAGGAAATCAATTTGTTCCAACACTATCAGGCAAAGATGCCTCTACTCCTGTGACAAATATAACTCTAACTCTTCAGAGGTCCTTCATATTTCCATTTTTTCAGGTATCTTACTGCTAGCTTTGTAAAATCTCATGCTGGGCCTGGATCACAACTGTTGTGTCACCTCAGTCAAAGGCTTCTTCTGCCAGAGCTGGCAGATGTGAAGGGAGGAAGGGAACCCACTTTGTGGCACAGGCTCAGGGATGGCGTATTTTGGATGTGGCAAGAGATGAACAGAGCATTTAAAATTATTAGGGAAATTTAAAATAATAAGACTTGAATGAGTGGAGGATACCAGTAATCAAAAGATATTGATAAGTGGTATATTAGAGTTTAAAAACAAACAAACACAAAACCTACAAGAGAGGTACAAAGAAAAAGGAAACCAGGAGAAATATAAAATGTGTACTTTGGAGTTATTCCCTACTGCCCTCTGGTTTGCCCTCTTCCTTTAGAAACAAGATTTTCCCTTGCTCATTCAAAACACAGCAGAATCTGAGACTATTATGGTGAAAAAATATATATATATATACATGCATAAATATATATATGTATTTTCACAGAATGGGATATAACTTCTAAATGAAAAAGAATACAGAGCTATTATCATGGTATCATTCACTTGATATGACCGTTCTTATTTTTCCATGTAATAAATGAAGACTAAATTTCCAGTGAAAATTATGTGCCAGGCATGGTCCATGACCTGAACAAATGTGATGAATTTCTTAATTAAACTCCCAAAGGTAGAGACAGCATAAGATACATGATTCAATAAATTCCTTTAGTTTATCACAACTTAAATGGAATTAGTAGTAACCAAGGGTGAAAATACATCAGTAAGAAAGGAGATAATACGTTCAGGGTAACAAAGAAAGCCTACTGTTAAAATGTTCCCAGCAACCAGAATGAAACAACATTGAAATGCATTTTAGAATGGGAGAGCTCATGAAAAATTTTACTCTCTTTTTCTCCCTACCTCAGATCTGCAGCTAACATACACAGAATAAAAAAGATCCCTGTCATCCCAGTTCCCTATATTATCATATGCTGGAGTTGCCTTACACAGTTCATAAATGATGGTGGTTCACTCTCCCTCAACACTGAAAAAATAAAATCCAAGCTAATAACATGTTTGGGATTCCAGTGTTTTGCCTGCACTCTTTGCAAATTTCTCTAGTAATGCTGAAGGTTCCCTGCACTTGGGGAAAATATGCAAAATGCACTCTAAATGAAGAGGATAACTCTCAGGGAAATGATCTCCAAAGGAAATGATTACCACCTGACAAGACGAAGCACACATAATAAATGCACTGATCAAATGCACACCCATACCTAATCTGTTGGATGGGTTCCTTTTGAAGAGGGCTCGCAGCAGGCTCTGGGCTTCTATGCTCAAGAACTGTGGCATTCCCAGCTTGGCTCTGAAAGAACACGACACTTGAAAAGAAAATAGATTTTTCAAAAATTTTCTCCATCATATTGTGGTTTACAGAGCGGAATTGCAGTAGTTAGGAGGGGGCAGGCACATGAATTTGCTGACCAAAGGCATGATTACCTAAATGCATTGCAATGAAAACTGAGGGCTTGATCCTGTTCTGCTGAATGATTTATCACTGGCATCACTGGAGTAAATCTAAGTAAATCTAATGAATCTCATAATATAATTTGCTGCCCAAATAGATCATTTTCCTACTTTTTTGTTTATTTGTTTGTTTTGTTTTCAGGAATAGATTTGGGAATCAAGAGAAATTTAAAGAAGCAAAGAAACTATTGTGAAAATAATGATAATTACATTGACTAGAGTGGATAAAACTTTTCCCTTGGTGTTTCACTGCTACAGAGAAGAAACATAAATGTAAGGTGTAAATGAAAAAATCTAACAATAAGAAAGGTAAGCTTCAAACTCTGAAATAATTAGGTCTGTGCTTAACATTAAGTGAGTGGGAAAAATTCAAAGGAAAATATGTGAAACCTTGAAACAACAAAACATAAGCTATCCTGCAGAAATCTATTTCCACATCTGTATGTATAATGACATTCTGTATTATGGAAAGTAAAATATGTTTCTTTTGTAAAGCCTGCTCAGTAATTCACTTCATTCTATATATTCTGAAGGCAATTTCAGAGCCACATGCAGGCATTAGCTGTGTGCACCTTACCAAATCTATAACTTACAAAGCTTTGAAAAACTCAATATGCACATTATTATTTGCCATTCTTCATATACATAGGACCTATAGGCTGCCCCAAGGGCACAGCTAACTCATAGTTAATGAAACGAAATAGGTTTCAGTACTCACTTGAGAATAAGAGCCATTGTCTCTTTTCTGTCTTTTCCCTGGAACGGTAACGATCCTGTCAGCATCTCAAACTGTGGAATAACAATAAAATGTCAAATCAAGTAAGTGTTGAGACAGTCTGCATAGTTTATCTACACCATGACCATCTTCTATTCATTTCAAACATAACCAAAAACTTGAGGAAAAGAAATGGCTCAACAAGCTGTAGTTTGGAAAAAATTGATGCAGCAAATGTGGATTTTGCAGAACATCAAGGACTAATATGACCGTTTAGCTGAAGAGCCTTGTTACAAACTGATACTCGGGGTCAAGTTTTGGTATGTTTAGGAACAAATATCATACTTGCTTCTTCTTCCAGCACCTGTCCTATGGCCAATATTGAAGATGAGATATTTGGCTGGATGAACCTTTAGTCTGAACAGGTATGATTGTTCTTAGGTGTCTGGCATAGACTGTGGTGCAAGGAAAATGGGTTTACCACACCATTTCACATCTTTTCTTCATCCATCGCGTCCCTTCTAATTTGGGATATTCCACGATTCTATGCTTCCCTTTACTTGAGTCCAACTACATTTGCACTATTTAGAAATGCCATTGCTATACTTTGCATGTTCAAACCCGACATCCTCAAGGCATTATTATGTGCTTTTTTCTCTCCCATTTTGGTTTCCCTGGCTGTACTCAATGATGAATTTTGCAAGTGTCACATTTAAGTGAACCCAAGTCTCAAAGCAAAACTCAGCAATCATCATCAATTATTTGCCTAACTCACTTGTGAAAACATCAATCAGTTATAGCTCCTTTGAAACAGAGCAATGCTTTCAGCAAATTTGACAGGAATTTCACATTTGTAATAAAAGCAGCCAAATAAGTCTAGCATGGATTCAATACCAGGTCTTTCATGCAGCTCTAGACTCAGGGTTTCATAGGGGTATCAGTGGTAGTTGATTCCTCTGACTAAAGGATGATGAAGGAAATAAAAACAAACAAACAAACAAACAAACAAACAGAAAAAACAAGAACGTAATTTAGCCCGGGTATAAAGGAGGACAATGTCCACTGAAGGTAAGGAGGACAATTATTTTCTTACGTCTCTGATTCAGGCTTTGGATATCTTCTACTACAATAATACCTACCGATTAATATTAATTGCTATAAATTAAATATCAATTAAAGTAGGACAGATTGCAACCATTATTTGTTTTTTGTACCTTACCACACAAGTAGTTTCACTCCTCTCAGGAAGCCAATTTGTTGCAAAAGGAACCTTTTTATTAGTAAAAACTGTCAAACTGCTTCATCGCCTGACTACTCCCTTTTTGCAGATTAGATAGGGTCATGTCATAAGAAAACTATGTGAAAACATAAGAAAATTATAACCATGAAACTGCTAGGCTAGACTTGTGAAGAGGGCAAATGAGAGGCTTAGAAGCCTAGTAATTAACTGACTATAATTAATCAAAGGATTTATCTGCATTATGAACAAATTACCTCAAAGGGATAAAACACAAGGCAGAAGTAAGGAAAAGTACTTTAAAAATATGCATATGACTGACAAATATAGACAAGATTTGGAAACATGAAGCTGTTAACTCCTGCTTGGTCTAGGAAAGTCAAGACAGCAGCTGTCTTACAGGACTGGTGGAAAGCAGCTTGGCTGCTAGAAAGAAACGTGATGGGGTAGTATTAGTAAAACTGCCTAAATGACATAGGAGCTCAAGCCCCATTTTCAAAATAATTCTGACCTATAGGAGCTTTATTCCTGACCAAAATGGTCGTATATCCTAGGGATGATGGGCAGAGAATGTTGCTTCCCAGGGCAGTAACAAAAGTGGCACACATTGTATGAAACCCTCATCACAATTTCTAAAGAGTTTCCTTTGCATTCTGGATAAGTACCAAATGTTCACTTACACTTGCTCATGTTACTTTGTTGTAATAAATTTAATTTAACAGCACTAACAATGCCTGCTACAGCTCATTTATTTTGGCAGAAATGGGCTTGACGCTGCTGATGCAAAATGATAACAGATCTAAACCACCACTTGGTCAGTGACTACGCGGGAAGATGACTGCAGCTCCCACCCACTAGGATATCACAGGAAGATCTACAAATGCAGTGTGTGTGCAGGGCAAAGCAACCTGAGGGCAAGAAACTTGGATACAATGTCCAAGGAAGAAGAAAAGGAAAAGGAAAAGGAAAAGGAAAAAGAAACTGAAGTTGCAGGAGGGAGTGGGGGAAGTGACTGTCCTGGAGGCTGCAGGGAATATTTACTGCACTGCTTTAATGGCTAGCACTTTGTTACCACATGTCTCCAGTTACACAGGTCTAACACTGAGATTAATTCAGACTCAGAAGAAATGCACTTAACATCAATATTTAAAGTGAAATGCAGCTACTGTGAGTTAAATTTACTTGAGCTTTTGACTTCAGTGAACTCAAATGAGCAGCAGCTGGAAGAAAGCACTGGTTCCTCTAAATGCTGTCCTGATTCTAAAATTTGTTGAAGATTAAAAATGAAATAACAAAACTGAAAAAAAAAAAAAAAAAAAAAAAAAAAACAAACAATTTGAGATAGTTAGTCTTATCAGTTAAGGTTGCTGCACAGCAGCCTGGTTTCCTGTTCATTAAAAAAATAAAATAAAATCAAGAGCTTGCTAAACCTAAACATGCAAGCAGAAGTGAGCATTTGCTGCAAACAGCCTTTCACGTAACTATGGGTCACAGAAGACTGACTAGGAGCTGAGCCTAGGTGTGAAGAAACTTTGCAGTGTTTTTGGCTATTAATGCAGATTTTTATAGTTTGTTTTTTTTTTCTTCTTCTGGGAAATGCAGTTTTCATTCTCCCCGCTTCCTCATCTGTATAAACCTAGTTGGTTTATTCCTTGCCTTCCTTGAGAACAGCTCACTTCTTGAGTATTCTGGGGTGCCACCTTGTCTTAGCTAACACCTCAGAAGACTTTGCCTCTCTCCAACCTTGGCTTCCTTTCTGTACCAATCAGTGAGAAAGGCAATTATTCCCTGCTACAATTCAGTTGCTTACTAATACAACCACAAAATGAGCTTGATGGGAACGGATACGAGAAGTGATACTGTTAGGTCATTTAGGAAGAGAATGAACAAGAAAAAATCCACAGCCTGGGGTGATTGCCAGATGAATAATCATAGCAGATGGAAGGACGGCAGACAGCACAAACCATTTCAGCCTGAGTCTGCCCAAATATTGTGAGCAATAAAAGATAAAATGTAAAGTTACAGAAAAAAACTTGTCAATACTCTGTTCTGGAGAGTAGAGAGACACTCTTGTCAGAAAGGCTGGATTACCCTCTCAGCACTTCCAGTCATTTTCCAGGAAGCTGGGAGCAGGTCAGACACTCAGTTTTACCGTTTGTAAAATGTGTTATTTACCATTATTAGCCACCTGTGAAGCATAATGAATTTGTGTTTCCAAAGGGTTTGTATACCTTCACATAGCAGCTAGCATAGATATTCAAAATACTATACATTAAGAAGACCATCCTTTGCAATGAAAACAAAACAAGAATGTTATAATAGGATTTTGTACAAGAAGGTAGTGTTGCTTTTTTGTCTTTTATTTTTCCAATATCACTGTATGGTTAGGTTAAAGTGAAAATTACTACAGAGCAGAATACTTGAGCTAGCAAGGGAATCTTTTCTTTTCTTATGCAGATTTCACTTCATTGCTGAAAAATATAAATACATTTATTTTTATTTGGGATGGTCTATGGAGTCATCACACCCTTTCTTTCTCTAATTATAGTCTCCTCTCTGCTGACATGACTCTCAGTAGTGGGCAGTACTTTTTCCTGAAGTGAAAAGAGATACAACTTCCACAATGGCTGTGGCTTTGTAAATCAGTACGATGAATTATAAACCCGCTGCTATGAGCCACCATGTTATGTTGCAGACAAGTTTATCTGGGCTTCAGAAATGACACAGTGGGCATCAAGGATCTTGTGGAGCTGCTTAAAATATATCAGTCATATACACATATTTTTAACAAGTTAAATCAACTGCTTGTCCATGCAGATCTATTGATGAGAAGAATATGCTTTTGTAAAATAGTGTTAAAACAGAGCAATGCTCTATCTAAAGCCTTCAATACAATAAGTAAGATGCAGGAAGGCAAAAAAAAAAAAAAAGTTAAAAAAATAAATGTCTGAATATGATAAACCACAACTTCTCCATCATTTACTAAATGAGAGGCAGGTATGTTGTAGTTTAATGTGGCTGGCAGCTAAGCATCACACAGCTGTTTGCTCACCCTGCCCCATGCGATGGGGGAGAGAATGCTTGAGAAAGGTGAATTTCAAGATTCATGTAACTATATGCATTGAGACCCACTATGCTACCATAAGATAACTCAAACAGTCTGAGCAGCAAGCAAACAGCAAGTAATATTTTTGGGTTTGTGGTGAGTATCAAAGACATAGCTGGTGGTAAGTGAAGTTTCACTTTCACTGAGTTTAATAAGACTAGAACCTAATCTTTGACAGATAAATTTGTCCTGATATTAATAATCACGTCTCACATTTGATGTTGCCTCCAAGGATCACTGTTTGTCTGTAGACTGAGCCTGGTCAATGCGTACCCCTGACTCCTCTTCATGTAGGATTAAATCTCAGTTCACAGAAAAGAACAGATGAGAGAATCAATGTTTGGTGGCTCTTCTGATGGCTAGCTTACAAGCTATTTTATCACTATTTCCTTACTGTGTTCCTTCTACTGACCAAAATTTAAACACAAAAATTACACTGTCTAGTTTCCTTCCTTGCAATCTACACATATGCCAACGGGTATATTTTCTAAGTATATTTCATTCTATACTGCAAATAACTTCAAGAAATGCTAATAAATCATTTGGATTCCATTTAACTCTCTGCTCTTTTTCAGACTGGCATAAAAACAGCTTCCCTAAAAGAAGATTCAGGCGTCAGACTGAGGAAAACAAGAGCACAAGACAGTATCAGAAATCTTCATGCACGTTTAGTGTTTGGAAATCCCCTTTTTTCCTGCCCTAATCAGTTAATTGTTAAAAAGGAAAAAAGCTTGTACTCATTAAAACTATTTTTTTTCTTTAAGATGTCTGGTAGCACTCAAAGGCTTAAAGCATCAGCTTACAGTTAAAATGATTTTTACTGTATGTAAAACATCTCCTTTTACATGGATTCTTATCTTTCCTAATTCTAACATACTGAATACTTGGCAGAGGGTATGAAGAAGAGAGAGATGGAGGGAAAACAAACAAACAGACAAAAAAAAACATGTGGGAAGGAACCAAGTTCATTAACAGGTGAAAGAAAAACAATCTATGCATCAAATACATCAATGTTTCTTTTTAACTGGAGACAGACAGTGAGAAGGCACAGCTATCCTCCAAAAATAAACATATAATAAAAAATGTAAAGGGTTGGTGTGTATTTATTTTATGAGACATAACTTATTGATTTTCCTGAACAAACATACATGATTCATAAGTGCTCAGCACCCACAAATGGATTTATGTCTGTAGGAGATAAGGATGTTCTTTTAAATTCAGGTAATAAATTGCAATGTTTATCTAGATTAGCTGCTGTCGACCAGCTAGATCAGTGATGTAGACCCCCTCAAATATGTTCCTGGTTTGCAAATTGCTTCCTATTCTTGCTTCCTTTAGTGCTGCTATTTATTTACTTAGGGCAAACAGAACTGAAACAAACTCTTTGGATTGTGGTGGGTAACATAATATACAGCTACCAAAAGTAGTTCCTGTGCCACAGGAAATCTAGCTGCATTGTAGCTGCCTGTTAGTGGCTGTGCCCTGAGTGAGGGGACAGGCCTGCAGCCTGCGTGCTTCAGGATGGCAACCTCATCTTTGTTACCTGAACATATCACTGCGGGAGTAGTAAATGAGGCTCAAGGTACAGTACTATGCTTGATGAAATGACACTGGGAGTAACCACATCAAAAAACCTACATGTACAGTGCTTTAACCTACAGGTTTTAAACGTATAGCAATGTCACAAAACTACTTCCCCCGACCTTCCCTTCATCCTGCTCAACAGTAATGACACCAGAGACTGAAGAGGCGGGATGGGTACAGGAGGAAGCAGGTTAGAGCTCAAAGACCTAATTTTGGAAAGGCAGGCATGAGGGGGATTTAATGTTTCTCTGAGAGCCTTTTCTGGCATTGCATCCCAGCATCAAACACTGCAGCTCTCACAAGCGTGTTATCAAACCCTTATCATCAGCCAAGCAGCTTCACTGTAGTTAGACAGTGAAGAGATCATAGAGATCTTTTTGGAAAGTGTTTTCTAGGGACTCATCTCTTATGCAGGAGCTTCCTTCTACTTTTCAGGCTAACTGTATTTTGTGACAGGTTTATTCCTAAAGGCTCTTGGGGCAACATTTTTTTTAGCACAGATAGTTCCTTTCTCTCTGTGGTATTTTTCCTTGTGATGTATTCATATATGGTAGCTCTTGGGCTAATAAGCATCTTCAATCAATGACTCACCCCCACAACTCTGAGGTATGTGATCACTTCTCCAGCCACCCCCCCCAACAAACAAATACCACTTTTCCATTACCATGAGCACACCAAAAGACCACCAGTCAGCACTCTGCGTGTGTCCTCGGCGGTTGACCACCTCTGGTGCCATATACTCTATTGTCCCACAGAATGAATATGCTCTCTTGTCATGGTCGATGGCTTCTTTACTTAGACCAAAATCTAAATAAATTGAAAAAAAAAAATTGTCAGGTCTATAAAAGGGATTATTAACACTTGTGCTCACTTAGGCTGTTCAGACCAAACATATTTGGAGAAAAACACACCAAACAACTGATGAAGCACCTTCTGGCTGCTCACGTATTTTGTGTGTGGAAAGATCAAAGGCAGGTGTGCACTTATGCCCTGCCTATGTGGAGTGCCTTGCCAGCATCTGTTAAAATGTCTTGAAGGCAAGTGTACCCCTTTCTCTGAGGTTCTGGCTCAAAGCAGAATAGAATGTTTAAATGAGCAGAAACACAGTTCAGGTTTGGTAAAGAATGCTGGTAAAGATTCTTGCTCAGATTACCGTGATGAATAATAATTGCAGAAGGAAAACAGTTATAAGGATGGCCAGACAGCATCTCCAGAGTGGCAAAGGAATGGTTTTCCAAGGTATCCTCTACTCAGTTATGAATTCAGAGAACTTAATCTGGAGTAAGCAGTCATTCTGGGAACAACCTTCTATCCATGGTGGTAGGCAGTTGAGATTAAAAGATTCAAGTCAGTCTGGAGAATGATTTTACCAAGAAAATACTGTATTCTCCATGTGATGTGCAGCACATGAGTGCTTGATGAATTGCCAGAGGAAAGAATGCTAATACTCAAACTCTTCTACCTTCTGAGTTTTTCGTAAGCAAATTTTTTCCAGGCACAGACCAAGTGGCATGGAACGTAGTGCACAAAAATAAAAATAAAAAATCAGTTCACAGGCATTGAGTTTTCTGTTCCTCACATACCTGTTATCTTAATGTGTCCCTCTTCATCAAGAAGAATGCTGTAAAGCAAGAAGCAAAGATAAGTTCATTAGGTGGTCACAGATCACAGTTAACAAGCATGAATAAAACATGTTTAAGGCGAGTAAGGAGGTATACATGATTCAAATACATTTAACCCTCAGTGCATTATACTCCTCCAGAAAGAAAAATTATTCTCCAAAGGCATGACTGATCTCATGCCTGGAGCAAGCAGAGCCTGTGGCAGTTGCACAGGGTGCCTCCTCTTTTCTCCAGAGCATGCTTGGGATGGGGATGGGAACTGAGCTCAGAAAGAACAGGGTGTTCAAAGCAAACAGCTGCAGAGAATTTGCTTCCAGCAGGAGAAGGAGCTATAGGTTCTCCCCTGTTCTAATAATAATAAAGGCAAGGGCACAAATAATAAGGGCTTGGACTCTCTGGACCTGAAATTAATTCCAAAGGTAGATATGTTCATGCTGAAGTAATAAAAGTGATCACAGAGCATAATGACTAGTCACAGCCTAGCTGCATGGAACTCAGCCCTTGCTAATTTATTCTGTCCGGAAGCATAAATGAAAATTCAGCCTGGCAGCCAAATCCAAGTGTTCTCACGTTTACCACCTGCCAACTTTTCTTATTCTCACAAAGGCACTTCAACATTTCTGTGAGAAAAGTGACTGACTGTAGTTTGCAAAAAGCATTGCTAGTTTTTTACAGAAATAAGAAGGCACACTGAAACTGAAAAATAATGATCTTTGGTAATTTTTCTGTCTATTAGTACTGACATAGTAATTAAGGTGGTGTTTCTTCAGTCCTAGTCAGATTTAGTGTATTTGTCTTTTCAAACTGGTCTAGCGAGGTATCAGCTATTTTTGTATTTTCATTCTCTTAGAAAGTCACTTTAATCCATTTATTCAGGACGAAAATAAGACAGAAGCAAAACTAACACATTAGGAAAGGTGGTGTGTGAAAGGTTGTCTATGTGCTGAAACATAATTGAAAAGAGATGATCTTCTGCCATTCGTTTGTGCGTTTGGAACAGATTGTTATTCTGTAATTCATCAAATAAAGGCCAGCAGCTGAGTCACTACTATATGTTCAATAATTAAAGCTTTTTCTTCCCAATAAAAGCCTCTTTACTTCTATTTTCTCTCCAGATTTCCTGATGAGGCATAATTTTTAAGTACCAACCTATAACAGGTTTGCTTAAATGTATTTTTATGGCTATAATCCATAAACTTGTGCTTCAGAAAAGAACAGAATAAAACACCTGCCAGCTTGGAAGTGAGCATGAACGTCTGAACCCCACAGACCCAGCTCTGCAAGAAGGGCCAGGGCAGCACAGAGCACAGGAATCACTCCAGACTTTGTCCCATGCCCAGGGAGCCCCTGTGAGTAACAGCAACATTCAAGAGGAGTGGGATTTTCCCCAGAAATGTTAATTTTATATTCCACTGACTTCCTACAGAAAATTCACGTAGCTTTTCTATGAAGGCAATATATGGTTTTCATACCTTTCGCCTCCATTAGATATGAAGGCAGCAGCCATGCAGCTCTCAGACTGATAAAACTCTCTTGGGTTAAGTGACCCAGAAGTATACTTTCTCACATTAAATGTTTGCATAAGCAACAAAATATATGGATCCTGGTTTCCTACATGTGTGTAGCCTATGTCCCCAAAAATTTAATCTATAATTCCCTCCTGTTCCCTAAATACACCCTTATACAGAGCCCTCAGCTGCCTTCAGCTTCATGCTGCCCCTGGCAGTATGTTTTGGACAGCTGGGGGTTTCCACATTTGCCATCTGCCAGTGCATAGAAAGTTATGGTTATGAGCTAAAAAATTATATTTGATGTTAAAAGAAAATAGCGTACTGCAGTGGAACAGCTTTGAGTGACATTTAGAAGCAAAGAACAACGTATCTGCTGCTAAATACCCAGATTACAGCAACTGCCAAATATTTTTTCTTTGGCTGTAGAAGCAAAGTTCCTCTCTAATCATCCTTTCTGTCTTCTCTTTTTATCTTTATCACTTTACTGTTCCTTTTTATCCCCCACTGTCAGTAGTAGAAATTCTATTGTGACAATCAAATTGTATTACCTAGGGTTTGTAGGATCAGCTAATCTGAAATAAGCTACTACTACTACTTTGGGGAAGGGAAAAAAGAACTGGAAGTTGTTAATCTGATTCAGGTTTGAGATTTATTTTTTTCCTAAACTGATGCTTTGAAATAGTAAAAAACAAACAAACAAAAAGTTGACTACTTAAATGTTAAATTAGGCTGTAATTCCAGTGAGTGATATCTTTCACTATTAGATTTTTCCATTTTATCTGTTTAGTTTAAGCTCCGACTGTGTTTCCGGGATACTACCATTGTCAACCTGTTCTTTATTTCAAAACAACAACATTTTAGCCTGAGGATGATCCCACAAAAATAAATAAATAAATAAAACTGCTTTCACTGACTTCAGCTTAAAAGTATGTCTTGGGATAATAAAAGCTGAAATCTGCATGTCAGAGGCCGAGAAGTTAGCCTGGTAGCAGGGGAAAGGCGTTCCCCTGACTAGCACCAGGAGAAAGAGAAGTTTGCGTTAGAGCTAGGACTGCAACCTCATTTTATTTATTTTATTTATTTTTTTTCTGCAGCTTTAACACAGAGATAAAAGACTTTGAATATTAGCCGTTCATATTATTTTATGTTGTATCTTAAATCAAGGCCATAGTAATTCTCTCTTATTTCTCTCTTTTATCTTTAGTTTTGAGTCATGTCTTTTAGGCTTTATTTTAAAGCTCCTATACACCCAAATTAATGTGAAGTTCTGCCAAAACTATTGAAGCTGCGACTCTGTTTTTTGTTGTTGTTTGTTTTTGATGATTTAAGTTTCTTTCAAAGTCAGCTCAGTTTTGCAGAGAATTTAACCCACACTTCGTGTTTTTCAGAAACCATAGCCAAAAACTCAGGTTGGAAATAAAATCTGAAACATCACAGAGAAACGTCACATTTGGCTGCAGGCTTTGTTATAAAAGTACCGGACAGAGTGAAATATCTCCCAAATATCCAATATATCCAAATATCTCCCCAAAAATGAAGATTCTCCCAGGCAGTCCACCTTTTTTAACATTCCAGTGTTTGCATGTTGCCATACTATCTCAGGTAAGCTGAACAGTCTTATGCTGAACTCATCTCTGCTGTAGCTTCATTGGCACCATGAAGTCCCCAAATGGGACAGTTTGCTTCTGTGGAAGCTGATAGCAATTCTCCACCAAAAGCCTTTGACCCTTACTGTTCCTAAGGTTTTCCCTATAAAGAGCTACACTCATGAATAAATTGCCATGGCTTACAGTATGCTGTATTAAATGCCTTTTTGTTTGTTTGTTTCTTTTTTGTTTGTTTGTTTTGTTTTGTTTGTTTGTTTAAATATATGTTCAACAGCTCAGGAGCTGTTACATGAGCAGTTGAGCTCTCCCTTGTATGGACAGCTGAGGGCATCACAACGTAAGCCTCTCCTTGCTAACTGAAGCCCTTACAATAAAAGCCTATCAAGATGCAGCTGGGTACCTGGAGATAGAACAGGCAAAATAAATAAAATTCTACATTCTCGGTAGGTAGAGTTACTTCTAAGTCATCCATACTCTTAAACCACAGCATAAGCAATAATATATTTCATATACTAATTTACAAGTCCCCATTTTTCTAGTTCAACATAGCCATATTTAATAGCTTGATACTGTAGTTCTTAAACAGAAGCATGTCTCATGGTCTAAGTGAGGTTTTAATGTGACTGAACAGCACCTTGTTCCACACAGCATCCCACTGAAACCACCAAGACAACCCAAAGAGAAGAAAGTAGCTTCGGTGTTTTAAGAGAAGCAGCATCTGCTTGTTCCATACAAGACTTTAACCAGCAAACTCAGTGGCTTGCCTTTTGATATAAGTACAGCTAACTTTATAACAACTCCCAGAGTATGTATATATTCTGGATGCTGTTAAAATTAAATCATAGCTTTGAATTGTTAATATGATTTTTTTTGCTCAGGGAATCTTAAAAAAAAAAAGGTGAACCTGAAATTTTAATGTACTGAGGTTCTCTCAAGTGGTCTGGACAGTGCTATTTTCTAACCACTCTTCTTTGCCATAAACAATTCCAATGAGCTTCATTTTAAGATACTTGCAGAGCTGACTTAAGCAATCTCAAACCTATTAGCAGTTACTGTTGGGAGCTTCTGGAGGACAGCAAAAGCACTAAGCAATGAAGGAAGGACAAATGCAGTGCCTATCTTTTAGCAAAAGGGGAAAAAAAGAATTGGGAAATTACAAACTAATTTATCTCCATTTTGACTGACAGAGTAAACCTTTTGTGCTCTTTCAACCTGGTAATGCTTCTCCCCAGGATGTTGTGTAGTTCATGTTGTGTACTTCAGAGGAGATATGGATCAAGAGAAATCAAAGGGGAGAAATGAAAATGACTGAATGCCTAGAAAAAATGACTTAAAAAAAAAAAAAAAAGAGTTAAAAAGAGTTCGGTAAATTTGTTGTTTAGTATATGGAAGTCAGGATTAAGGACAAGGCCATTCTTGCAATTCCCTATGACTGCTGCCGAGTGCAAACATGCCGCATGGGGAGTCTAGGAGTAGAGGCCAAGGACCAATGGTCTGCAACTACAGCGCAGAAATTTCAAGTTAGATTTTAAGAGCATCTTTCTAGAGGTCTGCTATGGATGCTCTGGAGTCTTCACCAGCTATTTTAAGAACAGGTTAGCCACACACTAGCAGTGACCTTAGTATATTTGACCCTCCACAAGGACAAGTGGAGGGTGAGATTATCCTGGGAGAGTCCTGTTTTTTTTTTTTTTTTTTTTTTTTTTTTCCTGTTATTGTCTCATTTAGAAAGCTATCCTTTCCTAGATGTAACTTAAAAATATAACATTTTTCCCCTTCAGAATGCATGTTTTTCACCTGTACATGTTTTTCTATTCTAAACTTAAAGTTCCGGTGAAACAACAGTCAATCATCCTTTGCTTTGCTAGGCATGGCTACACATAGGCTTAGTGGTTATAAAGCTATTTTTAAAGGATTGTGTGTGTGTGTACTTAAACAGATGCCTTGAATTATCCCCAGGTATGACCATCAATTATACCAGTCTGGGTCATTCCCATTCTTGTACAACAATAGTAAAAACAATATATATATACACTTATATTTTAACAATACAATATATATATATTTATATATAAGTATAAAGAATTACACTTATTATAATTTTATTATTATATAAGTCAAGTTGTAAAAACATACATTCAAAGTTAGGAAATACCAGAATGAGGGCTGCCACCTTAGTTTGACCTTACTCTCTAAAGGTCTTTAATTGCATGGAGATACTTCTTGTTTTGTTCCAAAAAACTCCTGCCACAGGTAGCAGAACAGATAGATAGTATTCAGGGATTTTGGCACAGCTGAAGAATGAAGGGGATGGCTAACTTGTTTTAAGACATGAAAACACAGAACTGGATTCTACTTTTGCCTTTTCTACTTATTTCTGTGTGGTAGTGGCAAATCAGTGACACCTTCCTTTTTCAGGTGAGCTCTAATTTCCCAATTCACTGATCCCTGGTATGAGACACTGCAGTTTGGTCTGCAGAAAGAGTAAGTACTCTCTCACTTGCAACTGAAGTCAGAGAGGGATGTGTACTGAAATGCAAAGTGACACATTATGCTGAGAACCTGCGAAATCAGGTTCTATGTGTCTCAAATACAGTGAATAGTTTTGACAAGCACTTAATTTTCTCCTTGGTTTCTGACTTCTCCCAAAGGAAAAAAAAAAAAAAAGGTGTATGCCTATAAATGTAGCAGCACCATGACTTTTATTTGAATACATAGGGTCATATTTGGATAGCTTCTAATAGCAGCTACATATATCACACGCTTACATGAAAAACAGCATCTAACACCAGAAAGAAAAATAGTACATGATTCATATTAACACTCACCAGAAACAAAGTTTAAAAGCAAAAACTATAGTACTATAGTACTATGTCATAGATAAATAATCTCTTCTCCTTCAGCTTCTTACCTACAAAATCCAATTTCAATTAATCTTGGTATCTTTTTTTTTCTTTTTTTCTGTGAACGTGACAGTAATATAATTAGCTTTTTATGAAATATTTGAATTTTTAAATTTTGTATCACAAAAGGAGAAGGCTTGCTCTGCTATTTTGGAATTGTAAACAGCAGCCAAGCAGACTGCTCTCAGCGGTCATCTTTTTTAAATGATTGTGACCATTACATTAAAAAGGCTGGTAACTTTGACATGTTGCAGCCTGCTTTATTAGCACTGGCACAGAAGATGCAAGCAAAGCACCAGCCAAGTGGAACAGAATAAAGACAATATCACATGACTGCCAGTCAGAGCACTGTGGCTGTCATTTAATCTATTGATGTACTGCAGTGGAAAAAAGAGAAGGAAAAAACCTACATAGAACCACATTAGGAATAGCAAACAATCTAGAATCATTCTGGGACAATATTTTGAATTGTTAATCAAAATTGTTAGTCGCATTAGTTTTCAGAGATACTCATTTACTTTAAACAATGGCTATAGTAAAACTGAACAGTGCCAAGACATATTTTGTATGAGCTGGAAGAGGAGTTGCTTTGAACAGTCTATACCCATCAGAGGGAAGGCCAGATTAAATGGTGTGAATCATGCATTGTTCTGCTGAAGTCAACAGCACAGGTCTGAACCCTGCGCTGAGCACATTCATAAACTTGAGGCCACATCACATTGCTTACGGGCTTCATGCTTACGTGAGATAATAGGAAGACCCTGGAGAATGGGACTGTGGAGACCAGAGCTCAATTCATGCCCCAGCCTAGTGGAATAACTGAAAATAAACACTGGTAAAGAGACTGCACTGCTTCTGTTTTAGACTGTACGGGGTCTTCCACTTATTACCACCTTAGCCACTTCTGTATTTGGTGTCTCAACCACAGCTCCACCATGTGTCACCACTTCCCAAGCTTCACTTGTGAGAGGATATGGTACTTCCCTACCTTATCAAATTAAATGGAGTGGACAAAACCTACTCTTGACAGTTAGGCTCTTGTGTACTGCCTCACATACAGGAAGGAAGACAGAGTCTCTGGTACCTTTTGACTTGTTAGCAAGATGAGGAGCAGAAACGACCTAAAAGCTCACGTATTTATGTTTCAGTTCACTCTTTCTCATTAACTTACTTTTCTGGTTTCAGATCCCTGTAAATAATTCCAAGCCCATGGAGGTGGTCTAAAGCCAGGGCCAGCTCAGCTAAGTAGAACTTGACATCCTCTTCTGTAAACATCACCTAGAGAGAAGGAAAAGAAGAACATGTCTATTTACTAGACAGTGGTGGGCTGGCTTGCATTAAACAGACATGGGGAAGGAATTGTCTAACTCAGGAAAGCTGGAAGGCCCATCATATCAGGTTCAATTTTCCATAATTTGTCTGAGCTCACATTAACAATTCTTACCAGATTCTCCTTATAAAACAAAACTTGATCTGATGAGTACTTCTTCTGTTCCTTAAAACATGCTGCTCTCATTCGTCTGTTTGATCTGTTTAGATGACATCATGTCGCAATAATATAAACAAGGTTCTAACTCCTTAGCCTTTGGAAGTGAATGGCAAAATTCAATGTATTCACTGCAGCCCGTATTGCTTTCACATTTCTTAATTTGCTACGATCTTGGCATTTGGTTCCTAAATTCTCACATAATAATATGGGGAACCTCTCTGGGGAAGCATAAGGCTTCTTGTTTTAGAAACAAAAACACATCTCGTTTCCAAATATGAGCAGAATAACACAGCGCGAGGACACTCAGAGATGGATTGAAGCCTCCATGCATCGAGGGTTCAGGGACTCTGCAGGGGGTCTCTTCGGTGCCTTTAGAGGCCACCAGACTCCTAGGCCCTGGCCTCACTGCCAAAGGCATGTGCCACAGGGGAATACCCCCAGCTTCTGCACAAGAGTGGAAGGGGCTTGCAGCTACATTGCAAGACAGTGCTTTTAGAGCCGTGTGGCCTCATTCACTCCACATAGTACTTGGGTCTCCCATACACCCAGGATAGCACTGCTGCAGTCCTGGGGCACAGCATTGTGTTAATGGTTTTCCAGGTGAAAATATCTGACACAGGGTGCCAAGCATCTTCAGTATGGTACTGCTTGAAGGTGTGCAGCCTGGGATAGCATTGGAGGTGTGTGCAAAAAAAAAAAAAAGAAGACTTGGCACATCCTTGTGCATGGCAGCTAGAAGAATCTCCCCTGATGCAAAGGGGCATCTACAGAGGTGCCTGTGTTTTAGCTGTGAGAGAACAGCTTCACCCTGAGCCAGAGCCAGGGACAGAGGCAGATCAGGGAGCAGGACCTTGTGCTGAGCCTTAGTTATCCGGGTGCAGATGTCCTGAGCAACAATGTGCTGGCCAGCACACAGGGCCTGATGAGGTCTAAGCTGATGTTGGCTGTTTCCTTTCAACATCTGACACAGCTACTACTAACACTGAAAGCTATGGTTTAGGTGCAAAAAAATTTCTGCAATCAAAATCAACCAACCAAACAAGAAAACCCTACCAAACACTAAGCTCAGAGAAACAGAGTTCATATGGCAAGAAGACCCTCTGGTTCAACTTTTATTACAACTCAGATGATATTAACTTCTCTTTAATTAAAGTTCAGTACATATAGCAATAATAATGCAGAAGGAGAAGCAGATATATTGGATACACAAGTGCAAATACTACATATGACAGAAGTAAAATGACTCATCTCAACATAAATTTTCATGTCATATGTAAATGTAAATATCTCCAGTAGAAGTTGTAGAGCTTATTTTTAAAATTAAGCCTCTGCTCTTGGAAAGGGGCAGCCACAATACTTGAGCGCTTTGAGAAGCTGCAGAAGGTTGACAGCAAAACTAGAGGATTCTGAGGGCAGATGTCACACAATTTAATTAAGAGTGTCACTGTAAAGAATAGAAGGAACTCTCATACATACATATATAAGCCATATTAAATATAAAAAAAATAAATTTTGATTATTAATATGGTTTAAAACAAATAATTTAGGCGTGATATGAAATCAGTAGAATCAGGGAAAAACTTAATCTATAAAGATATATCCTGTTAAAGTCACAGTTCTCAGAAAGACAGACAAGAAAGAAATGAACTTTGCATGTACGCATGCTGTAATGTGATCTGACTGAAAGGCCACTAAAATCACTACAGTTGGACCAAATCCATATTTCATAAACTGCAAGCAATACGAGTTTTCCTATAACATCCTCCCTTGTGATACATTGCCACTAAACAGCTGCAAAGAGCAAGTAGACAAGACGAGTTGCAAGCACTGAAAAGAGAAGCATATATCAGGACTGTCAAGTTAACAGGACTCATTCTTGATAGTATAAAGTGGGGTGCACTGAACTGTAAAAGCATTAGGAAAATCTGAAGTTTCATCAGAGTACAAAAGCTAAGATGTGCTCTTTCACTTCCAAGTCCCCTGATTGTGCAGAAGGTGCCAAGAAACACTTCTCTTTTCTCCCATGAAATCAGAGAGGTTCTTTAAGATAGCACATGTCACTAACAAAGCCTGATTTCATGGCAAGCAGCAGGAAGCTATTTTTATTTTCTTTAATCCCTTTTAATATTTTAAAAACAATTGGTACAATGTAGTAAAATACCTTTGCTCAACACTGTAACTAACCTATTGCAAAAGTCTTCCTGCATTAGCAGACAAGTCTGGAAAGCAAACACTTCATCTCCCAGCCCACGGTGGACACAACAGTCAGCCAGCCCACTCCACTGCAGCATCTCTCAAACCAGGAGCTGCTGCCACCACCATCAGGACTGCCTTGTCCCGATGAAAAAACAGCTCGGGAACTTTTGGATGAAAGTACTGTTCTCACAGCTTTTTTAGTCCATCCATAACTCCTCTAACTGAGAAGATCAAACAGAGGTCCCCCTCAAGATGTCATGTGAGACATCCTCATTTCATCTTTAAAGATTCTGGGTCAGCTGCATGCTGGCACCCCTCCCGCAGTTTGGACAGAGACCAAGGGCTGAGGACACTACACCAGTGACAACAAACCTGAGGGCACAGACAAGACCTCAGGACCCCAAACAACCCCTGGCTCCAGTGAATGCAGTGATTCCAGTGAATCTGGAAAACCTGCCACTGCCTCTCCCTGTGGGCATTAGTGAGACTCAGGTTTGGTTTCCTGAATTACTTATTCTTCAGCAGCAGCATGTCCCCATAGGAGGGAGCTGAAGAGGGCAGGGAACAGACTGAGCCCAGCGTGGTGATAAAAGCAGCAGCTGTCCCCAGGTAGGTATGACAGCAGGTGACAACCAAACCACAAGCCCTGGGCAGAATGTGGCCCTGACCTGCTCCCAGCAGCAGCTGCAGGAGATGGCACACTCCTGCTGGTGACCAATGCCCTGCTCTATCTGCACACCTGCTGCAGGGGTCAGCCCACGACCGATGGCATCTCTTTTTTCTGCCAGCAGCAGTTGTGCTTCTACAATACTTCCATGCCCATGCCCCAGGCAGAACAAATTGGGGATGGGATTTTCATGCTGCTTCTAATCACAGTCAGGATGCATCCTGTGAGCAATGAACTTGGAGCTTTTTTGCTATGGGAATGACTTTCTAGTTTTCTGTGATGTGATACTTACAGGTTATCTGCTGTGTTTCCTATAGTATAATTCAAACATAATTATTAAGAACCCACTTAAAGATGGAACTCTATTATACGTATACACACACACACACATACATATATATCAGGGCTATTCTCAAGGCACTCCCACCAGCAGCTTCATTGGGGTTGTGGAAATCCAGGATAGTCTTTCATTTCTAAATTTAAAATCTATCAGCTTACCTCTTTGGAGAGTCTTGTGAAAAGGTCCCCTCCCCGCAGGAAATCTAGTATTAGATACAACTTCCCCTCTGTCTGAAATGCTGCATTAGAAAAGGATGGAGATGTTGGAAATTTGAATCAAGATAAAGTCTCTGAAGAATAAATATTGTTGACTAATGGTGTATCATTCATGATATTAGTTCTCCTGTCATTTTAGCACTTAGAGAACAGAAGAATTAACTTCTCTACAGCATTAAGCAGTCTAGCTTAGACTACGGGGAAAACGATATCAGTTGAGAGACAATGATATATTACTAATATATTCCTTTCCATTCTAAGCACCTACAAATTAATATTGGTTTCTACTGTAAAAGGTACCAGGAGTCACTGAGGGGTGGGCACAGAAAGGAGCTCCCAGACCTGTGCGAGGGCAGAGCCCACACTATCCACAGCATCCTCAGAAGGCTCTGCACAGCAATAACGGGGCTGTCTGGGGGCTCAGGGAGCTGCTGAAGCTCAGGAAGGCAATTCCAGCAAGACACAGCATTCATAGACACAATTACAAATATTCTGATTATTAAAAAGTAGATCCTCTGTTTTCTTAAATGATAGTTGACAGCAGGTGGAGGGGCTGGCAGATGTAACTCACCAGCTACCCTAACAGAAAAATATATCACATTAGACTTTATGTCAAATGTATTTTGATGGACGAATGGCTAAGATCTGCTTATACTAAAATTCTCCTTCGATATAAATGAAGAACTTCTTAGAGTTAGCCTCTGTGATTTTGTTAGAGACAGAGTCGTATGTAGGCAGGGGATACCTATATGAAATTATAACACAGCTAGTTACAACTCCCCAACCACTTTAAGAACAAACATAAATTGCATTTTATTATAGTTACCATAATGAAGCTTGACTATGAAAGGATGATTCACTTCTGCCAAAATATCTCTCTCCATTTTTGATCGTACCCGATCCCGAACTACAAAGAAAGAACAATAAGAACAGAAATACATTAAGAGGCAGCATGGTCCACTGGGTACAGTACTGGAATGAGTTTCAGGTGGTTTGGGGTCTGCTTTTCAGTCTGCTGAGGGTTTGTGGTGTGACCTTTAGCAAATTACACCATTCTCTAGTGTCCCCTTTTCCTGACTATCTTGACACTGTAAGCTTTTCAGGGAGGCACTATCCCTTCCTCTGCAGAGAGCAGCCCTCACTAAAAGCATCACAGTGTTACCAGTGAGGGGGAAGTGATTATGCTTTGCAAAAAAAAAGAATGTTAATGTGAGTTAAAACTATATGGAATTAATAACTCCATCTCATTTAAGATTAAACGGAATATATCAGTCCCAGAGCTTGCCGGGTTAACCTTGTGCAAATTAACTTTTTGTATTGTGCTGATGCTAGCAGCCTCTATTAGATATCTCTGAATAGCATTCTCTGCAAGTGATTTATATGAAATATTTTAAGCTTCCATTAATACCCCCAAACAATCAGTAATAAAGAAAAAAGCTGATTAAAAATAATAATAAAAAAAATATTTTCCTGTGTAGAGAGAAATTCCTGTGGGATAACAGTGAGAAAAATATTTGTTGTGGTTGAGATGAACAGAGAGTAACAAAAAATAGCTACAGAGGTGAGCTGGGTTCAAACTAATCAAAAACGAGCTGAAGATTTCATAGCAAACACATTTAACAATGTTCAGATGTTGAAGGGGATTCAAGCTCCCAGATTATCAGCTCCTGATCTGATACATTCATTTTTCAGTCAATCACTATTTTCCTAATTCTGTAATGACAGTATTACAGTTTTCTTCTCCTTTCTCTGTGTTACACAATGCCAATACGCTTTGCAGCCAAAAGCATCCACGAGGAATGCTATGAGACTATTTTAGGTGGTAAAGCCTGAGATCTCAGCGAGATTCTGTCATCGCCCGCATGTGTTGTTGATCTGCCGAGTACTCTCAGCAACCAAGTAATGAACATGCCGTAATGAAAACACATACTCTGCTGCTGCACGTTGAGAACTGATGCACAGAAATAGGACCAAACCAGCTGATCTGAAAGCCTTAAATAGGAGCGGAGGAACACTTGGGTTTCTTGCTATTTTGATGCTTTACTTGGATCAATAGCTATGTAAGACTTAACTAGTTCGCTCGACCTAAGTTACCTCGTAGATAAAAATCAAAACAAAGACAAAAGGAATTTCAGAATCTTAGCCTTATCTCAAGAACAAAAGTGACAAAACACACACTCACAAAATGCTCAGCATATGTGAAAGTGGAGTATTTCTCATGCTGTAGATACAAACCTTTGTGATATGCTTCAATGCGCCTGGGCTCCAGGAGCTCCTGGTGGACGGGTGAGCTTTGCTGAACACACTGTGTGGGATATTTTCTATTAAGCTTGGTTAGATAGCTAAATAAAGTGCTTCTCTGTAACCAGACTGATGAAATCTGAGGCCCTGCACAGTGACACATCCCACAAAATCCACAGGATATTTTGTACACCAGCAGGGTGGCTTACCATGCACAGCTGGATAACAGCATAAATCACGCTGGGCAAAGAACAGCCATCGGATGCAATTCACGCTGTCATCCATCTACCTGTGCTACCAGCCCTGAGTGCAGCAGCGCATGGACACAGACTTTGGTAATCTCAAAGCAGGGGGAGTGCTGGCTGCAGAGAGCAGCAGTTATCTGTCCAAGTAGCAGTCCACCGTCAGCAGCGAAGCCAGCATTTGCCTGTCTGTAAGACAGACGTGTGCTTGTGCAGTACAGAGGCCTAACAATCAGCTGGCAGCATGCCCTCCCACTGCCACCATTTCAACCTCTGATCAGGTAAAGGCACAGCAAAGCACAACAAAGGCTATGTCACCACAGGAGACACCTCATTCCCCAGAGTCATGGCCTGATAGCCTTTCCTGAACCTTTACTCCTCCAAAGCTGTTCTAATCACTGCCTTTGCAGTGGCTGCCAGAAGAGATAATTGGAACCTGTAATCAGGATTACAGCTTGGCACATGAGTTGGTGACCTGCCCTACACATCTTCCAGCATCAAACACTGCCTGATTTAAATGCTCTGAGAGCAGAAGGTATGTAGGCCGAGACTTTTTCCAATCCTGCCACTATAGAAGCTATTAATTATACTCTCTAGCAGGTCAAATCCACCATCTTTCTCTCTATATCTTTTTCTTACCCTACTATTTGCATATGTCTGGTCCACAACTGATTTTATACTCGCAAGTTGCCTCTATGAGGGTATCCACCTGGGAAAATTTATTTTCTCTTATTCCATATACACCAAGGAATTCCCCTGCTCTTGCTCTGACCTACATTTTTGGGATTGGGTCTCATATTCATCAGGAAAGGTCTTAGGAAGAGTAGGCAGTTTGATGTAACATTTCCACAACATGATGCTCCGTCTCAGTCTGACTTCTCTGTCACCTTCTACATACAATGGGCAGGAAAATACCTCTCCTGAATTTCGGAGACTTTTCTAGCATCTAGTGGTCCCAGCCTGCTCCTCTGGGGGAGCCTCCTTTCTAGTTCTTACATCCTGGTAGTCAGGTAATTAGGCCAAATTGCTCATATATGATCTGAATTAGTTCTGACTGCTTGTTCAACCTTCTTGATCCTGGGTAGGCAGGGACTCCAGCTGTATATATAAAGAGGGACAGGGTCTGAATAGCTGCTCCACTGCAAGGCGTGAACATTAGCAGTATGTATTTCTACACAGGTGATCAAGTAAACATATCTATTTTGCGTAGTCTCATTGGGGGACCATCGAACGAACTCACCATGAATTTCTCAGATTCTCATTTCCAAAATGACTGAATCTGTGGAAGGGACATATTTGTATGGATTCTTTTCCAGGTGAGCCTGTTTTCTCTGACAGTCATATCACAGACCTGTAAAGGCAGTGCTGGAGCTCAACAACCTCAGAAAAGACTGAGGCTCAGGTCCCCCTTCCTCCTTTCAGCCACTTGCAGGGGCTCAGAGCAACATACAGTGTGGGGAGTGCAGGTGGCTTAGGCAGATCCTGCCTATGCCACTTAGTTAACTACATGAGTAAAATGCCATTGGAAATGGTACAAAACTGCTAAACTCTTGCCCTTTCTACCCAGTATTCAATTTGATTTGAAAGGTGGGTTTTGCAGTTTATCCTTAATCATACATCAGACAGAAGCAGAGCACATAACCTGAACCAACGAGCACAAAGCCATGACGATCATTTGCATGATCTTGGGCAAACTAGCTGTTCCTGAAATAATCCCTGGTGTTTCAGAAGAGAGAAAACTGGCAGAATCTATAACAGAGGAGGAAGCACCTACTACCCTGAAATAAAAGCAATTCCTATTTCTAGGTATTAATGTGCTATGAAAGAGAAATGGAGACAGCTGAAGATGTATGCAGATAAACACAGCTTATTCGCTTCTATCTACCTAGCTCTGAAAATCAAAGAGGATGTTACCACTTATTTTATTTAACACCAAATGCTTAAGGAGAGGGTTTCATTTAAAGTATGAATTATATTTCTTGAGCTGTTTTAGTTTCAATAACCAAATAATATATTCAGAAAAAATATATTCAGAGCATCTTCCACTGAGAAAGAAAATATTTCTTCTCAATACTGGACTAGCAGTCTAGTTTCTGAAAAAGAAAATAAAACCATAATCCTGCTTCCTTCTCTGAAACTCTCATGATAGGAACTTGGGTTGAGTTTAAATATGAAAGGATAAATTTTCAGCCAATGAACTTCTCAAAATTTCTCACTTTAAGAGTTAGTGTCTCTCTAGCTATGTACACTTTCAAGCCGTGATAATCTAGGGACCTCCCTTGATGCACACACAATGACATTTGAAGCAGTTCAGTAGGATGTCAAGCCAACCCTGCGAGAGTTTGTAATTAGAGAAACCATGGCCTACAGGAGCTGTAAAAGGGGAGCTTATAAAAGAGACACTAATTTATTCACTGTAATACTGATTAAAATTTATAGCTAATTCACCATAATGGGAAAGTAACTTGTTATATTTCTAGTGACTGAGTAGCTGCACTGAAGTCAGAGCTCCATGAAGTTAAACACCATTTAGCCGCCAATTTCAGTGGAGACAGAACATTGCTTCTGGGAGCTCTTTGGCTAAAGAATAACCTCCAAACATTTTAATTCAATATTACCCTTCTCACTACTGCTGAGAATAATTCTTAGTTCTATCAAAAGAATTTGTTCCTGAAGCTATCACCTAAATGTGTGTTTGTTTTCTCTGTCTTCAGTCTAACCTGTTTCTATTTCAAGAGAAATAATTCACTTTATCTTCCAGTAAGTTTCTGTTTTCTCTGCATATAAATGCAGTCTTAAAAGGCATGAGGGTTTTACTTACAGCCTTGTTTAAGTCAAGAAGTGCTGAATTTAAATCGGTATTAATTTATGAAGATTACACTTCAGCTTCAATTTTCAAGTAAAAAAAAAAAAAGGAAAAGCTTTTGTTTATGATCTATAAGTTAGTTGTACTGTTGTTTCTTTGACAAACACTTGTTCTAGAGGGTGTTTGTGTAGGTATGCAAGTGCATACATACACCAGTTTGTAAAATATACTTCCTGCTCATAACAACCAATGCAAACAATGCTAAACTCCAAACAAGGAAGATGCTTGCTTCCAGAGTGCCTCTTCTTAACCCTGCTCCACTTGTGGCCACAGTCTTTCATGTCCTCAAACTCTGTGAAGGACTCTCTGAGTCCTTCATGTCCTCTGACTTACTAACACAGCCCGGCAAAATGCATACAGAGACCTAGGATGCTCCAGTAAATTCCCAGGGCAAGTTTCACAAAACTGAGGCCACTGCAAAATTCAAAACTTGAACTGAGGAACACTTCTACAAATAATTAATAGCTTCTCGCTTAAATCACATCTTAAAAAGAGGATTCAGACCATAGAATCATTTAGGTTGGAAAAGACCTTCAAGATCATCAAGTTCCAACCATC